TCTGCTTTTTTTATTGGCAAAGTCTAAAATTAATTTTTCTACATCAAGTTCTTCAGTGCGAGCTCTTTCTATATTTAAGATACTTATGTTGGTTAATTGGTCTTGAGATATCGAGTTTCTTAAATAGTTTTTAATCAATTTAAGTTTAGAAAATGATCGTTCGGCCGTTGCAACAGTCACTGGTAAACTTAAAAATATAATACAAGATGTAACAACTTCACTATACAAAGATGATAGGTCGTTTTCTATTAAATATAAACATAATTCTTTAATTGTTTTCATATCAGTGTTTTTTATAAACTCCTTTAAAGATAGAACTTGACTAGATAAATCGGAAGTTACGTCAGTTTTGTAAAACTGAATAAAATCATAGCATGATTTTACTATTTCTGCTTCATTTAATTTTATTATATTTGGTGGCAATAAAAAATTAAAAGTATTTGATACTATTTTAAGTCCTTTAAAACGATCTTCGAGTTGAAATAAAGGAGTATCAACTAATGGTAAAAATACTGAAACATAAAATTTTTCCTCTGTAATATCCAATCTCCTGTCACCATCAACTTCACCAAATAGTTTTTTAGAATACGTTTTTCGTTTATTCTCATTCTGAAATTGTATTCCCCATTTTAAACACATATTTTTTGCTGATTCTACCAGTTCTTTATAATTATGTCTCATATTTTTAATTGAATTAATACCAATTTGCAAAAACTCACTGGCTTGATGGATACTGGTTTGTGAGCACTGTAACATCTTGGATACCACAGATAATGGTTTCAAAACATTTTCCCAAATAATTATAAGCAAAACAAACTCAAATGATTGCATTTTTTTTAAAAGAGATTTTGCTCTATTTAATTCATCACTTTTTTTGCTGGTTAGTGAAATATTTGTCAAAGATTTCAATACATTAATAAAATTTTCTTTTAATGCATATACAGATGAATGTCTAGCTTCCCATCTTGTATTACACACTTTTTTCAAAACTTTTTTTTGTATTTGATTTGCTATATCATTACCAAATGCTAATGATGCCCATCTAGGTGCACTTTGGCTGAAAAACAAATATATATTTTGAACTATATCAAAAAATGTAGAAATTTTTAATTAACTTTTGGCAACATCAGCAATTACTAGATTTAAGTTATGAGCCGTACAATGTACATATAAGGAACTAGGGACTACATCAGAAATCCTAATGTCAATACCTATATTATACATGAATAGTTTTCAAAAGCGACTATATTTCCTAATCGATATTCGATAGTCAACGGTACTGCGGTGTCGCGATGGTTTATTAAAAATAAATTATTACTGATTCTGCTTTAACTGGTAACATGTTTGTTTCAACAGAACATAATATATATTTTATTCATAGACACCCTTTATTATCTATATTAGTTTCTAATTTTCTATGTAATAATTCTAAGTATTTTTCAATTATCGAGGGCACCTTCGGGGCCCTCTAAATTCTCTACTAGGGGTGCAATGCACCCCCTGCACCCCCGGTAGTTGCGGCACTGTATATGGCGCCGCATCGCTAATAAACAGCAGAATTTTGTCTTTTTAAATGGGGTCGACTGAAGTTTATTGAAAGGAATATTTGTGGCTACCAAGGCATAACACATGTCTGTTAAAAATTCATTTCGACTAGCCATGGCTGAGGTGGTTTCAGGTATTAACATTTGTACCGGATTACGCTTATTTTTTTTAGCAGCAGTCATTTGTTGATGCACAGCTAATAACAACAAAAACAATAAAAACAATTTTTAATAATTATTGATTTCAGCAGAAAATTAGTGTTACCGTCAATCGAGGTGACTTGGAACTTTGAGGTGAAATGAAACACCCCGGTTTTTTTTTAAACATATCAGGTTATCTATGAAACAAAATGATATAATTTAAATCTGCCTGCATTTAAATTAAATTTACAATATTTGTGATAATAAATGTTATCATCAACCATGTGGTTGGTCTTATCATTACCACCGAAAAAAATAACCAAACATTTCTTATGATAACAACGATTTTATCATTGCTCACAAAAGTGCTTCAAATGTTGGGGATTGAAGTCAAATTTAAAGATTTGTATATTTTTTATACATTAAAGGACACTTCAAAAGCAGACTTTTGTAGTTAAAAGTCCTTAAACATTTTTTTCTAATTTTATAACTTAAGTTTTATTTTACAGAAGAAAATTGAGGGTGACTTGGAACACCAAAAATTCCAAACAAATACGAGCGTATACCGGGTAGCCGGACATATATAAATGACAGTGACGAAACACTTTAACAGGCCCTCGATGATATTTAAAATGTATTTGTGTTTATTTTGAAGAACTATTTAGTTATGTTTTTCTATTTAGAAAGAATTTTTATTTTGTTTTTATCATGTTATTGATATTTTATTATTTAAATATTTAGTTTACTGTTAAAAAAAGGTAAAGTTAACCTGTTTCTTTTTAATATTTATTTAACATGTTCTTGTGTTAATTTTTAAAATAAAAATTTTGTTCCAAGTCATCTCTAACGTTCTTGAATTGAATTTCACATTAAATTTTCATAGCTGTTCCAAGTCACCCAAAAATTGAGGTGACTTGGAACACGTACTTTTTACTTTTTTTTAAGTTCAGTTTTGGTCAAAAAACTAAATGAAAGGTCTTATCCTATTCATGAGACGTATGCAAACATTTATGTATTTTTTGTAGTCCAGTGCGATTTTTTTTAAGCTCAGAATAACAAGAAATATGTCAAAATCGTTCCAAGTCACCTCGATTGACGGTACCCATGAACTACTACACAGGACTGGACACTATTGGCAGGAGGAGAGTAGGGGGTCGTCCACAAAGTTGTACATATTCGGTACACATGCGACACAGCGCCATCTGTGAGATAAGAAATATTTTGTTATATAAAATACCGCCTTAGTAGTTCATGCTTAAACTGTTCACTCTTTAAGCAGTAATTATATTCTGATAATATTCTATAAATAGTATCATTATTATCTTGAATTGTGTTATTAATAATTGTTTTTCAAAAATTAAAAAGTAAATTTATTATCAGTTATTATCACTAATATCACTATTCTTTAGTGTTATCCTATAAAAAACGTAGTTCGTACTACTAACAGGCAGAGTGCAGTTACATCGCATGTGTACGAACCTTGTACAACTTTGTGTCCGTGATTTTCTCTGTAGTGTCCAGTCCTGTGTAGTAGTTCATGGTGTTACCGTAGGTACGTACTTGAATTACAGTGTGCATCAACTTGTGATTTACGTTCACAACCAATAGCCTTATTGCACGACGTGCAAAATATAATTTTGCCTTCGGTTTTCAATTCTGGATATTTTTCGATCCAACACTTTATTTTAGAACAATGACTACTACTAATTTTCGGCATTTTAAATTAAATAATATCAAGTAATAATTAACTACAAAATTGTATAAAACACAAGTTGACTACGACGGCTGCGGATAGAGTGGATAGACTGTAGTACTATATGTGTAAACTGTATTATGTAATCGATAATCTATCGACTATCGTAGTACCTTATCTTAATTACTTCGTATTATATCGTTATATATATATATATATATATATATATATATATAATTATATTGTTAGATATAAAAGTCCAATACTTTGTATAACAATATAATATAGCACCGATAAAAATAATACAAAATACCAAATATTTGTACAAAAGTACATTTTTATAAAAAAAAACCGAAACGTGCAATTTTGTGCAAAAACCCAAAAACGTGCAATTTTGTGCAACATAATACTTTCTTTAAATTACTCTACATCTCTTGATTTGGATTTGTAGCTTGTTTCTATTGAATTTAGAACACGCCATAAAAAGATGCAATTGCACAGGAATCCGGTCTTTAGTTATAAATTTGTCTTATCAAACAAAGTTTGAATTTGCAGATTTTTGCAAATTGTAGGAAAATTGTACATTTGAGCGATTTTTCGCATATTTGTGCATATTTTAAATTTTTTTAACTTAAATGTAGGTACATACAATTGTTAAAATCATATTTGGATAACATTGAAAAATATCTTTAAAAATATTATGTTTGGTTATGTATACAATAGGTGCTAATTTTGAGATTTGGGGAAGCCGAAACCTAAAACCATACTATTATAAAATTTAGTAAATGTTTGGGAGACCTGTTAAAGTTCTTGGTGGAGCTTGGCTACGGTTGGCCCTATTTTCGCATATGGTACGTAAGACTTTATAAGTGTTTTGTGAGAAGTCTGTGTTAAAACTATAATTGGCATCTAGATTCTAGATTGTACGAATAAATGAAAATCAGTAGATATGTGTTCGTTTATCACGGTGTTCGCATATCACGTTATTCATTATTAGGTACTCATTTATTACCTAGTATTTTATACCAGCATTTTTAAAAATCAAGTTTTATTTCACAATAGTTTAAAAATATCCAAAACATGCAATATTATCCTCCGTCCATCATTTTAATCATTAATCAATATAAGGTACCTACCTATATTAAAATTTGTATACCCGTGTTTAAATTATTTTTATCATGTTTATATAGGTACCTATATAGTTATTTTTGCCATTTGCGGGGGGTCGCAACCATAATCGAGAGTTTACAGCGCCATCTGTATAAAACACGGACTGAGATCCAAAATGTGACGCTAAATAAAACCACTGGTAGCACTGAAAACATTCGATTATGAGTGTTGATGATAACAGAAGAATCTTTTGGGTTGTTCTATGATAGTATGATATCATGTTGGAAGGTGGTCAATCGAATATCGATCAGCCTGCTTCGCTTTGAGTTGATCGTTGTGCGCACTCTCTAGTTCTTACTCATCTTCTTTGTTATAATATCGTGACGATTTACGACGATATTCGCATTTCGCAATACAGACAAACGGTAATCGTGAAATAATATTGATATATTGTCATTTGCTGGTCGCAAGTTTGTCGTTGCTTCGTTTCTATCGACGTTACCTCCAAAATTATGTCCATTTGTACTTTTTTGGGCAAGTACATATTGTACTTGTTCAACCTGTTGTGTCTCGTAAGTATATTGATACAGTTATTATGATTATGGGAATGTTAGTTAGGGAACGTGTGATTACTCACTTTTTTCTCATATGAGTCATATTATAATATGATGTGACTCGTATTAATGTATTAACAAAAATATTCTACATGAATTGCAGATCTCCAGCGTTGGCATTCTGTCCATTGCGTTCCTCATCAATCACAAACTATACAAATGGTCAAATTTCATAAGCACGGAACTCATCACCACACCTCAAATACTTTTGGCCATTGGAATCGGACTATTAATTATCTCCGTCATTGGTCTGTGTGGTGTCCTTAGAGACATTGGATGGCTTTTGACACTGGTATGCGTGTTCTTCAAACTGTATTGTTTAATATATTATTTTCTGCTCTAAAATAACATGCGTTTCAATTCTTGTAGTTTTCCATACTGCTTACAATTGTCTTGATTGGAGAACTCATTTTATCCGGTTTCGTTTATTACAATGGCGGTGAAATCAAAGGGTATGCGTTGAATCAGATGAACAATACAATTTCTTCATACAATAAAACTGGTTATGAAGCCTCCACACAAACTTGGAATTTGATACAGTCAGACGTAAATAATGTTTTTACCTATTAAAATCTATCTAATCTTACCCAGCCTAATCAATATTTTATTGTATACTTCCTGTTTTCAGATTGAATGTTGTGGAATTTATGGACCAAAAGATTGGGAACCAGTTACACACAGCAATAAACTACCGACATCTTGTTGCTATGCCATACCATTAGACGGATTTTGTACAGACATTGAATCATATAAAGACGGCTGCTTCAAAAAGTTTGAAAGTATTCTAGAGGAAAATAGTGAAATAATAATATGGACAGCAATTGGATTTGCTTTAATTCAGGTATGTTGAAACAGAATCATAATTTGATATTACATTAAAATAAACTCATATGCAATTTGTATGTTTTTTTTTGTTTTAGCTTTTTGCTGTATTTTTAGCATGTTGTCGCAAGTGTTCTTTACACAAAGAATATGAAACAGTTTAAACATATTTATCATCAAAGTTTTTAGTTATTAATAGAGCTACATAAAGAACATGTACTATTAATACCAGTTTATATAATTTCTCCCAATATTTTAATTTCTTTCATTTATAAATGATCATATGTTTAGATAACCCGAGATAGGTAGCACTAGATATTATATTTCATTATTATTAATGTTTGGTGGTGTTTACAGTGATCTATCATTTTCCGTTTCTATATTGATTTATTGATTAATTTTAATACAATTTGTTAAACATACTTGTTTATTTAAAACTTTAATTATCATCTATTATTAATTGCAATTGTTCTTTACAAATTAAGCAGACTTTAAAAACCAATTATTCAGATAATATCATAACATGTATGGTATATACAATTTTAAATAATTTATTTAGAATTTAATAATGAATCAAATTGTAATATTGCATACAGATAAACAATATTAAGTATTTGTGGAATAATTTATTATTTCATATATTATTTGGTATAATTTTTTACACTTTTGTTACGATTTTTTAAAAAATATTTTAAACTTAGCCTTACTACTTATACTCCTATATTGTTAAGTTATTATCCATTTGTATTGAAATCTTGTTCTCATAAAGTAATATATTTTACTCTTAGGATTTTAATATACAGTTTTTTTTTTTAATATTATTTTAAAGATACTAAATATATTGTTGAAAAATATTTGTTTGTTTTATTACATCCTCTTATTTTTCTTATAACATTTTAATAATATATAATAATATGTATAGATTATTGTAACTAATGTAACAAGTTCATAGTAGGTATAACAATATTGATAATACCTATCAAAATGATTAAATTATTCTACTCTTCTAAATTTGTTATTATGAAAAACCAGTTCTATAACTGTCTTCTGTTGTATCACCAATTAATTTAGAAGTAGACCATTATTCTGTGAAATAATTTATAGACAGAAAATGTTTTAGATTTGGAATAAAATATTCAAATAACTTACTATATTTTTTAAAGTACTGGATACAAGTGTTACGCAATAATATTCAGAACATATTTTAAAATATCCTTCTTCTTTATAAAAATCATTAAAAGTAAATTACTTTGAACAAACTAATGAAGTGTGTGACAGTACAATTTTATCATTGCACTTGGTTAAATGAGGGTTAAAGCCTTAACCATCATTTGTTTCCATAATTCATGTTAAGAAACAGAACTCTTTAATACATCAATCAACCAAACCTATTGAAAAGTGAAAAATAAGAAATAGAAAATATATTGGTTGAATAGTTTTTGAATTATGATTTAGATACTATAATACCCACTATAAATAATATTAAAGTCATAACCACATATTCATTTATTTTTGCTTGCAATTGGAAACAAGAGTTACTTATTACTTATTAGGTAGGTATAAAGTACTATCCATCACAGGTGGATTACTATCTCTGATTCATTTACCCCTTTTAATTTTCTATATATTAAAAAAAGAGAATCAAAACTTTTTGAAGTACACTCCTGAGAAGGTTTCTAGTGCATTACAATCTAAACTGCGTTACAGCGGGTACACCCACAGAACAAACCAATATACATCAATATAACGCCGTATTTTGTATTGATAGTTTTTTTTAGGGCGAAGTTAGGTTATACAGGCTATATAGCTATATAAAAAACCACTGGATGGCACATTGTATCCAATCCACTGTAAGTTGGATTAAGTAAAAACGACAAACTTGGTATAACTTTGAAACTTTAGAGTTAGAAATTATACACTTACTTTTGTGTGGAACTACAGATTACAGAATATATTATTGTCTAATTTTTTTCTTGTGACTTATGCCCAAGATGCTTATGCCTTATCCAGTATCCTTATGTGTTGTGATATAACAACTGGCAAACACAGTTAACCAAAAGGAATAACTAATAAGTAGTTTGTAGGTATAACTATTAGGTGTATAACTATTAACTACTTTTTTAGTCTGGTTGAATGAATGGCGGATGACATTGGTGCGCCGAGCGCTGTGGCCTGAGGTAGTCGTGTTGTTGTTATTATTTTCGGTGTGGCACGACGACGGCGCGCGCACGCTTGATTCAGTTTATTTCAGTGATAACGACGACATATTATAAAAAAACGCACTCACGCACGCACACGAACCGTCAATGAGTTTATGAGTCCGACAACCGTAATATTCGCCGGTACGCAGACACCATTTTTGGAACCACTATCGTTTTCGAAAACTCGATGCATGATTGTTATTTCGGTGTTTTCCTTTGTTCGCCCGTCGTGCCGCCACCGCTGTCGTGCATTTTTAACGCCGCGCGCTAACGTCTCACGGCATTTTTGAGCGTTTTACGCGCCGCACCCGGTCAAAAAAGACTGCATTTCGCACTATAGCCGTACGCCATCAATCCCGGTACGTTTCGTAGGTGTTTGCCCGAGCGCTGTTATTCCACGACGTGCAGTTTCCGCTTGCGAGGACGCCGCCACCGCATGCAAAGGCTCTTTTCCATCCATCGCTCGTACGTAACTCACGTCCGTCCGTCGTTGTCCGCTAGCCGCCAACGCTGACGCCGCTTGCTGGCTGCTCCGACAGACCCCCTCCATTGTCAGTTGTACTCAATGCCTTAAGACTGAACAAATTTACATCATTCCCTCCCCGAGTTTAGAGGTTGGCCGCCGCAAGTATTCGAGGTATGCGACCGCCACAACTATTGGCCGTTGAAATTACCGATTTCATGTTCAACTTTTTCTTGTTTCCACAGGTTGCCAGTGGCCACTAGCCCTTGTTGATAATGTCTACTACCCCTACCCCCCGTAGTCCTAACAATTCTGGCCGCCGTGGTGTGACTGCGACGTTACCTGCAGTTGCAGCCGTTCAAGCGACTCCACCGTCATCGCCATCCATAGGTGGCGAGACTACCAAGGAAGTGAAACCGAATCCAAAGATGTCTAAATCTCTTAGCACTTCGACTAAGAGGTGAGTTTTTATTCTCTTCAAATTGTGACACATATACTTATCTGTCTCAGTGGCGTAACCAGTGCATTACTTGAGCTGTACCTATTGAGTAATTTATTCATGTAAAGTTGAGTGTAAAGTGTTACATTTTATCAATATTATTGTAAGTTATAATAGGTAACATCATACAATTTAGGTATCAAACAATGTATGTGGGTACAAGACAAAAATATGCCTATAATAAATCTATACCCTGGTCTTAAACGACACCATGTCACGAAATAGTAATTTTACAAGAGATAAGTCCACATGGTGTTCTTTGCCACTAAAAAAGTGGACATGGTTTTATTTTTCATTCTCTTATTTCTGTTACTAATGATAACTGGCCGTATACCCTTACATAGAGCAAAAAATGTACAAGGACTTGGAGTTATAGTATTGTGTTTTGTTAAAAAAAATGAATGTGCAGTGGTGTCTGCAGGGGGTGGGATAACGGGCTGAAGCCCCCCTCCCATTGCTCGTATTATTATTACTTTTTCAAAAAAAAATATTAATCAAGTTATCAACTGTCAACTACCTATAGTAAGCAAGACGTAAATTGTATGTATGTCTTACCACAATGAATTCATTTTTGAAAAAATATTGTATTTGCATACCAATTTTTATAAATTATCTGTAATTTGTTGGTAAAAGTATGAAGTAGTTGTATGAAAGACCTAGTATTAAATTGTCTAGCCTTAGCTATACCTACATATTTTATATTTTATAAGATTTGAACTACAAATTAACTGTGGTGTTGACAAAATTTGAACTTTAAATGCATATGTATCGTTAATATTTTAGCTATTATAATAGAACTTACGTATTACATTTTTAAGCTTTTTGACTGGATAAATAATTTTTAATTGACATTTATAGAAAAAAAATTTTTAATTAATCAAATACAATCGAAGTGAGGACTGTATAACCAAGCTTCTTACCAAACAATTTAAATTTCTCCAATTATTTTTAAAAGCACTGAGCATTTTCAATTTCGACCTCCTTAAAAGGACCAACTAGATCCAATTTGCTTCCAAAAACATACACTGGGCATCGAAGCTTATGATCAGAGCATTTTTTCTACCAGAAAAGTTGAAAAGTTACAAACATTTTAAAATACCTCAAATAAACGTCTGAAATTATTAGACTGGACAAAACAAAAATAAAATTGTAACTAATTTTCAAGCCCCCCCCCCCCCATTGAAAAATCCTGCGGACGCCACTGTTTATGTGTCTACCTGCTTACCCATCTGTCTTATGTTCGTATACATAGTCAATGTATGTGTCACATAAATTGACTATGCGGTAAGCGGAAAATAAAAGTGTGTTTTATATTATTTTGTTGATTAACTCAAATACCTATCATAATACAATCACATAGTTATTTTATTTTGTGATAAAACAGTACATAATATTCAAACTATAAATATAATAGTTAACAAATGTTTTAAGTGATGATATCATCACAATATTACAGAAAATAAAACAACCATAATAATAATCACAATAGTCGCCAAAATATAATCTCCATAACTTGGGTGTAGGACGAGTAGGTACAACAATTACAGCGAACAACCAAAGTGTATAGTGTATACTAATGGAATACCACATATTATTTTGTTAGTACCTTATTGGATAGATACAAATACCTGTCATTTGTCAATAAATTTCAATTTTATTACCCAACTAATATTTTGAATGGTTTAAGCAAAGTTCAATTTACTTACTTCATTCACTAGTATAAGGATATCAACAATATAAATTAAATTAAATGTCAAAATGATTATCAGTAAATGTGTAATAAAACATAATTGGGTGTATTGTGATTCCATTCCCCTTGTATAAAACCATTGTAATATAAGATTAAACTTGAACAAATAATAAACACTCATATTATTTTCCAAACTTATATTTATATTATATTAATATAATTATATAATTTCCCAAAGCGCCTTCGCTGGTTGGTTCTTCCCTCAAGATACTACATATATAATAATTTAAAAAAAAACATAATTTTTGCTTATTGTACTTTTTTTTTATTTACAGATTGTATAAACTATATTAAAAATAAAAAAATATTAAATATAGATGTACCTATTAACATTTAATTTTAATTTTTTCGGAGGGCTTTTTTCTGTGGGTTTTTTTTTCCATGGTAATTTCTTTTCTATGGGTTTTTTTTCCATGGGATTTTTTTCCGAGATTCGACTATGCATACGGGCATTATATTATTCATTTAAAAACATTAGTATAGAATGTTTTCAAGTATCATTTAAGTAGGTTATATTCAATTATTTTCTACCCAACAATCTGGTAAAAAAACTGTCATACTAAACAATTTAAAAAAATTTTATTATTATTGTTTGTGTAATATTTATTCTTAAAAATAATCAACAACTCTCAATAAACCTAAAGATAAATATTAAGGGCCGATTTCACCAACACAGTTAATCACGATTAACGTTAACCGGAGTTTTAATCGGCCGAATTTGGCCGGTTAAATATCTGTTATCAGTCGATTAAGCGTTAACCGTGATTAACTGTGTTGGTGAAATCGGCCCTAAGATCATTTTAAGTAAGCAAAACGGTTAAGAACTAATACTGTAATTTAGTTTTCTAATCATTAATGTTTAACACAAAAAAAAATAATTAATAATAAGTGAATGTATAATTTTACAAGCATCAAATATTAGGATTGGACATAACAACCTACCCACCTACCTATTTATTTTTAGTTAATTTTAAATTTTTAAATCTCGATATTTTTTGATATAAGTATATAATAAATAAATGCATCATCAAATGTTTTAATTATTATTGTTATTTGTTAATCTCCTTATTAGAACCTTTGGTTTAAATACCTAGATAAAAAGTTGTCTACTACCCTTAAGAATAAGTATATAAAAATGAACAATGAAAAATTCAGACTATTGAGGTTCCTAGTATATTTGTCAATTTTATTTTAAAACATATTTCTAGTTTCTTTTAGTTTGCTATTACTATAAATTAAAAACGTATGTATAAGTATTACATTTATATGATTAAATATCATAATATAACACACTTGATGTTGTTGATATTTTATTTTAGAATAATGAACTTTTTGATTAGTATTGAGTAGTGAGGTGTATCTAATTAAATCATTTTTGGTTTGTATGTCTTCCGGAGGAATAACATATATTTATGGGAGATTTGGATTGTTGTATTTATCTAATATTAGTGATATTACCTACATTGGTATTTAAAGATTTTAAACATAATATAATTCAATATTTGTACTTGATAAAATAATACATAGTACCTATTCATATTTTCTAGGATTCAAAAAGAACTAGCTGAAATTACATTGGATCCTCCTCCCAATTGCAGGTAAAGTTAATAAATTATTTTTTATAAGTTGTAATGATATAAATTAATGTTCCTAATGAAAAATAATACTAATTTTTTATTAATATAATTGAACCTTTCATATCATTTTCTTATATTTTATTTGTCTCAGGTATGAATAACTTAAATTGATAAATTTACTAAACCAGTATAAATATATTTATTGTTTTACTAATTACCATAGACATTTGAAATTTGTAACAAATACCTATAGCATTTTTTAGAAATATATTCTGGCCTTTTTAAACTATTTAAAGACTAGTGTTTTTTATATGAATTTTGAAAAAAAAATTTGAAAATAGATAAAAAAAAAATCATTAAAATGTAATAAAAAATTTAGTATTCATGACAAGCTGTGTACTTAAAGCAATTAAAAAATGTTGAAAATACATTATGCAATTTGCCAAAATTATGATACCGACACTTCGTTTCTGCTCAGAATTGTGGTTTGGATATTCTACATAATTTAACACATACATTTGAATTCTGCTATATAGTATATACCAGAACAACTTGCCTGTTTTTTTATAAACATAGATTATTTAATGTACTTTATTGGATTTTTGATTACAGTTATATTGAACAGGGAAATTTTACAAAAATTAACACTTGTACAATTTGTCAATTTATACTAATCAATTCCAGCTATTAAAGTTAATTAAATCATTTTTTTCTAAACCACAGCTGTTTGTCATTTTATTTGAAATGTTGAAAATTCCATGTTTCGTTAATTTTATGAAGGTGGAGTGGTTTAGAATTCAATTATAGATGAAAAAAATTAATTCTAAAAGATGGCAATATTATGGACAAAAAATATGACTTCCACAAAAAGCTATCCTATCTGTATTCATAATTTACTCAGCTTTATAAAAATTAAATTTATTTTTTATGTTAAATTATATCAATTATATTCATTAATTTTTCAGTGCTGGACCAAAGGGAGATAATGTATTTGAATGGGTCAGCACAATTTTAGGTCCTCCAGGTTCTGTGTATGAAGGAGGAGTTTTCTTCTTAGACATTCATTTTACGCCTGAGTATCCATTTAAGCCTCCTAAAGTATGTAACAAACAATTTTATTTTTTTTTACTTAGATGAATGATTTTAATTTTTGAGAAACTAATTATAACTAATATGAATTTTTCAGGTGACATTTAGGACTCGCATATATCATTGCAATATTAACTCTCAGGGTGTAATTTGCTTGGATATACTTAAAGACAATTGGTCTCCTGCATTAACCATCTCTAAGGTGCTGTTATCAATTTGTTCCTTATTGACTGATTGTAATCCAGGTAAAGACTTATAATATATTTATACTTCATTATTTATTATATTTTAGAATTAACAAAGTAATATATCATTAAAATTTAAAATTAACAAAAAATTATATAAAAGATACCTACTTATAGTATTGTAAAAGTAAATTTGATATAGTTGCATAACTAATAGATAGACTAAGATTGACATATTTTCAAATGACAATATTGAATGTCTTACCATATTTATTAATTATTTAAAGAATAATTTAAGGTAAAAATAAAAATAATTTATTAACACTATAGTCTAATTGCTATAAATAATTTGTGCAATATTTAATTCATAATAATTGAAATCATTTTTTATTTATTAATTATATTTATAGCGGATCCTCTAGTCGGTAGTATTGCTACACAGTATCTACAAAACCGGGAAGAACATGACAGAATTGCTAGGCTGTGGACAAAACGGTATGCTACATGATTGATCCTCGAAGAAACTTAAAAATACATATATATATAAATATACATGCAAAAAAATCCTAATTCCGTATTTTATTAATGGGTGTTAGCATGATAAAATTTTAATCATTATTATTTTTTAGTTGGCATATTTAAGACCTGAATATGAGTCAGTTCCTACATTTTTCATTTTTTCTTTTTTTTTTCTTGAAACAGTACTATTTTAAACATCAACAAGATTATAAATGTTAAATTAATTTTTTATATATGACTTAACTGCGCAACATGTTAGGCCACAATCCATAATAAAATCTCAAATTAATATGTTTTATTTATTTAAGTTTTTTAATAGAAATTTTATGCTTTTTTTTACATGATTTTATTCTATAATTAATGAATGTGCTTCAATCTCTTGTTTTAAATATTTATTATTTATAAACAAGTTAAGGTTAAATTTTTAAATTGTAATTTTACTTTATTTTATAAATAACAATGTTACAAGTTGTGTACTATTTATACACAACTAAGTATTTAAAGTCTAGACTGCTATTTATATTTAATTAACAAAATTATGAACATTTTGTAAACGAATTTCATCTTAATGACTTAATGTAAATATGTGTATTGACATAGTATACATATTTTTGTATGTAAAATATTATTTAACTAAATTAAAAATATTGATCAATTTGTTTTGTATAACTTAATTTGTATTTCAAATATATTTAATAACATTAAATAAAATCTATGGGTATTATAGTGAAAACATTTGTTTAAATTAATGATTTATAATATATTGAATATTAGGCAATACAAAATTATGTTTTCCACATTGTTACTACCTGTTACTACATTCTAAGGTTTTTATTGAATACCCTTAGTCTGTTTAACTTCTATTATTAAAATGTTGATATAGAAATATAGTATTATAGCTTTACTCTTGTCTGTCATGCATATTACCAATGTATAATTTATATCAAATATTTGTGAATGGTTTAGTGTAAGTTTAAAGTCAGACTGCTTGATCAGTACCATTTATTTATACACTATTTTCATTCTCAATGCATACGTTATAATTCTGGTTTACAATGGTGTTGCGCAGTAACGTTTTGTATAAACATTGAACTTTAATTTTACACTACTTTAAACTGTTTTAGAGAAAAAAGTAAAAAAAATTAAAAATGGGTGAGAATTTTTATCTTTTTTTTAAAAAAAATGCTTTGAATACAAATTGAATGTATATTTTTTTAGCCAACTTATTGGAATTCAAAGTCATCTTATTTAAGTTGATGTGTAATTTATCTCATTCTTGTTGGTCTGAATATGAGGATATTTGAATTTACTATTTACTGTGTAATGTATTACACACATTTACAAACATTTTAGCATATCTATATATTTATAAGTTATATATTATATATTAATAATTAAATTAATATTAATATTGTAATATTTAGAGTAAATAATGAATAAAAAATATTGTTGTGAAATATTAAATTGAATGTTTTGTGTGTATTTTTGTTGTGTATCCTATTTGTACAACAAATAATTGATAAAGAATATATTTTAAATTTTCAAGTTTGTGCTTATACAATATGAACATATATTAAAATAATTAGAACAGCAGTAACAACTGACAGTTGCATAGTCTTATTGTAGGTTATTAGCTATGTCACCAATATATCTGTACAAATTGTTTGAGCTAATTAACTCATAAAATTTGTTACAAAATATAAGTATTAAATTAGTAGGTAGTCTTCTAAAATTAATGTGTTCTCAGAAATAATGTCACTCCAGCTAAAATCCACTTTTTTTGTTCATTTAATGGTATTCCCAATGGTAGCAACGATATTAAATTATCTCTGAATTGTGTCTCATATAACGCTATTGGTAAATCAGAATTCTTTATATACTTTGTATGTTCCTATAAAACGAAAAAAGTATAATTTTATCAACTAAACAGCTATAGTTAATTGTTAAAACCAGTTAAATACAAATGGTGCTAAAACCAAAAATTATTGCACAATTTTTTTTTTAATCTTATATATATACTTCTTCACAAACCTGTGGAATCCATGCAAGTTTAATGTCGTCAATGATAGTTACTGATGGTGAATCAGCTGTATTTTCAACGAGTGTGTTGTGATTGAGCCTAGCCCCTTCTATAATCAAATTTGATATTGTTGTGTGGATCTTGGCACCTTTCAATCCATTAGTTGACAGAGAACAATCAAGTATGAGGCTATCCATTGGGATTTCATATTGTCTACATTCAAAATTGAAGATTTTCATTAAAGTTTTGTTACTGAAGTAACCTCAAGAAATATATGAGAAATGTATTATATATTTATACATTATATAATCAAACGTGTCCCTGACTGACTGATTAACACAGAGCTTAAACCATGATAGCTAAATGCTTGAAATTTGCATGGTACCTTCGTACCACCATGTAGGGGTGCGCTATCAAAAATTTTCCAAAATTCCCATTTTAAAGTAGTGCTCACAGTCTCACACATGGCAATCAAAATTGTCTTTTTTGTTTATAAATGGTTGCCATTGGCTACAAATTAGAATTAGAATAATGGACATAAGTAGAAGTTATTATTATTTTTTGTATATAAATGGTTGCCATTGCACATTGTTAATTAGGTAGATATGAAGTAAAAGCATGCATCGTAAATATTAGTTGTCAACAAAAATGAAACTGATAGGAAATAAGTTTTAATTTATTATAGTTATAAATTAAAATGATTTTTCGACAAAATCGATTTTATTTTCCTTTTTTTTGTTGTACCTAATTCTGAAAGAAATAACTGGTAGAGACTTGAAATTTTCGCTAAATATTTATGTTAGTAATTAGTATTCTAAAACTGATATTTTCAATAAATATATTGTTTTTGAGCTATTTATTGACTTCAGTTTTAAATTTTTAAAGTTTTTTCAACTTATGTTTGTTTAATGTTTGTCTCTTGGTCAAAAAGCTTGAAAATTTTATTCTAACGTAAGTTGTACAATTTTAAATGGTGAATTATTATACATATTTTTTAAAATAAAAATGTACTTATGACCCACATAATGTTGAGAAAAAATATGGGTCAGCTGACCTCTCTCCCCGGCTCCTCTAAACCCTATCATGGCTACAGATATTTGTCTATGTCTATATATTATATAATATATTAATATATTATGGATAGTTGTGTGACGTTCATTGTAAACAAGTGACAAGTAACAATTCATTTTTATAAACTTGCAAACTTTGTCTTCTTATTGTCATCAATATGGATTAATAGGTATCAATTTATTGATTCATTAATACTAAATTTTTCGTAATATGAACAATTTTTAGTTTTTACTTAATTTTTGAAATTTCTTGGGAGGAATGTGCATAAAGAAATATTTTTCAGAAAGTGCTGAGTTCCGATGCCCCCTCCCTCCTAATCCGATGTTGCGCGTGGCTTTGAATAATCGCATTAGGTGCCTATACTTTATAGTAAAAATACCCATAATTGAAATGTGGAATATTAAGTATATATAAGTTAATCGCAAAATCGAAGTCAGGAATATTTCTGTAGATCTTCAGAGTAACTCTAAACACATCTTTACGATACCTACGTTGCATTTTATAATATACTTTGTAGTTTGAAGTTTGTTCCAATGTACAATACGTCTATTATATGTATGCATACTTGGCTGTTTGTTGTTTTAGCGCTATCAGGAACGTTCTGGGGTGAAATAGCTCGTCAAGGTCGATTTTCTGAGACAATTTGTCAGATGAAACGCTAATTTTTTTCACGCACATTGTTCTGGCCACGACCGTTCTGACATACGCTACCGGATCGTTCGGACCATTCCATTGGTCCATCCAAGTCTTGGGCGTCTAAAAAAATAATTCAGCAATCACCCAATTGTAATTTTAATTATTAAGCCTATCAATTTTCAATATAAGTTTGTGGATTTTCTCGTTCGCCTAAGACAGGTTTTTGCCGTCCAAGTCTATAAAAACGAATAACTGTGCCTGCCGAGTGCCGACTGGGGGTTATTAGCCATCTATCTATAGGTGCAAATGGTGTTTTGATTCGGAGGGGGAGGGGTTAAAATCTTACTGCCTTACTTTAATAATATTGAAACAACATTTAGGAAATGTTTGGTAGGGGCTATGTACATTCCCCCCTATTTGCACCTGTGGATCTATCTAACTATTTTCCCACCCTTTAGATCCGACCCCTTTGGGCAAGACAATATTATATCATACTTGGAGTCTGATAAGATGTAACACTGTGTCAGACACTGTGGTCGAGGGCCTTGTGTTGCTGCGAATCGTCTGGTTTACAGCGGCTAAGGTCTTGTGCACGTTTCTAACCAGCCGAACAGCGAAGTTAAGTTCTTGGCTGAAAAACGCGTCCACCGGCCTCGGGTTACTGTCGCCACTTTTGCTCGTCGGCAACTCAGATAGGTTGATACCCCTGTTCAAAGCCTTCCACAGGTCCAGAATGGGTTGGACATCCAAGTGCCAGTCGCCCCTTATGTGAAGTTTCGTTCCGATGCGGCCAATGCTGACGCCTTTATACAGTATACATATACGTACGTCATTCATTATATTGTATTTGTAGACTAGTGCAAACCAAGTATGTATTACACAGACAGGGTGTTTTATAAGCATTTTATCACCACCCCGTTTTGATGCTGAGACTAATATTATACATTATTTTTATAATGTAAATATTATTTTATTTGAATTCGTTTTTATGGAATTTATGCAAATAATGGATAAACCTTCTTGTATGTTTTTTTTTTATTTATTTGATATCCGATCGAAAATTTTTATAATTATAATTTATATTATTATAATAATATGTTGCTGTATTAGTTTTTTTATATAGGTACCAATGTGTCATAGTCATTATTGTGCCAATCACATAGGTACATAAGCAGGGACGGATTGGGCCATAGGGAAATCGGGAATTTCCCGATGGGCCGCGTACTAAACAGTAAATATAATCTAATAATTAATAAATATTACCATTGATTATAGATTATTCATTCAATGATATTACAGTCTATAATATTACAACGTAAAACGTTGTAAATTGTAATAATACAAGTACCTATACAACGTCTACGACAGAAACTGAATAATAATATTAATTGATAATTATCAATAACAATAGGTAACCGTAATCAAAAAATCAACTTCCGTAGACAGTAAAATCTATAAATAATTGGTTATTCGGGTTGTCGTCGATCAGATGGGCAGGCGGGTTGAGTTTAATGAGTAATTACGACGAATTTTGACGATACAAGTCGACGCGGGTCGTTACTCGTTAATATGAATACCTAATAAGAATATTTTATTAAAGAAATAAGAATAAAATATTTTGTATTACAATAGTAATAGTGGCGAATTATAAAATAAAATGGAAATGGATGGATCAAACTGAAGTAAAAAACGAAAATGAGGAGCTGAAAAAATCAAAGACAAAAATAAAAAAAAATACTATTTTTAGAAATATATTAATAATTAAAAATATTAAACTGTTACTGTTAAAGTACAATAATCTACAATTTATTTTATTGATAGAGAATGAGAGAAACAACATATTTTTCAAAATACTTAAATAGGTACCTATTTTTTTTTTTTTAATATGAATATATACGTTAAATTATTTTAGTGTAATATTCAACTGATATTTAAAATACTAAAAAAAATTACTATCTTCATCTTCAGTACACTTGCCAGTTGCCCCCAATCTCCCAACAAATAGGGGGCCGGTAAAAAAGCATTTTCCCGGGCTGGTCTGAAATTCCAATCCGTCCCTGTACATAAGGGTTCACTACTTAATCTCAAAGTAAGTAATAATAATAATTTAAAAAAAATGTATTTCTCCTTAGCCTCCTCGTGAGCCTGAGATAAAGCCATTATAGCCATTATAGTCAATCGCTATTGAATTATTAATTTGAATATTTTAAACATCGTATAATTATTTATTTCCACTCTTAATTCTTATAGTTTTCAAAATGTTTACTTACGTCGTAACTGTGATATTGTTTCGGTGCTCTGTTTCTTTTGCCATGACCTGTCTACGTTCTCCGGCAAATCTAACAGTTTTGGAGTGTCTTGCTCCGGGACGCTTCTCAATGCGTTCTCGACATCCTATTTGTGGAAACAAATTATAATAATTTACCATCATCCGATTGAACTCGCTAGTAATTTATGAATATAGTATACATGTTTCACATTTTAATAAATTAATTCTAAAATATTATTTACACAATTTGTGTGCTTTTATTACTTGAAAGAATTATTTCAGTTTTTATGAAATGGTTTGAAAAAATCTAAAAACTACCTACACAAGATAATTATTTTTGTGTGTACACAGTGGCGGATCCAGGGAGGGGGGGGCAAAGAGAGCATATGCCCCCCCTCCCCAATCTCCGTAGTTTTCCTTTTTTTACACTGTGTTTAGTCAATTTTGTAGTCAGTGTTGGAACTTTTTGTACTTTGCCCCCCCCCCCATGCCACTCCCAAAATTAAGCCCTGGATCTGCCATTGAGTGTACAACATGTGGAATAATGTAAATAGGTAAACGGTAAATATTTTGGTGTGAATGACAAATAATTATTAACGGCCAGCCTGTTTTATCTCCCTGAAATATGCATACGGTAAAATTAAGATTGTTGGTGCGGACATTCCCACTTGAAAGTGAAATTACAGTGGCAAAAATGAAAATGGGGTGTGAAGAAACAAATTTCTAATGTTAAATGTTTTAAATATCAATAGATACATCCAACTTTTGATAAAATCAATTAATTTTTTGTTTTAACTGCTGCAGTTACCAGCATCCGAGCATCGCCTCACATATATACGATTTATGTACCTTTGCGTCACCAGAATTTAAATCAACGATTCCAGGTATACCATCCTTCCAATTGACATTGTCCGATGTGAACACACTTCGCAAATATGTTGTGAGAATAGCAATGTCTTGTATATTCGTGATCCGGCCGCCGTAGATAGCCTTTTCACATAGTCCGTGAATATATGCCCATCTTGTCGAGCTATGCTCTATCGATTTAAAAAAAAAGTAACACGTAGGTTTAAAAAATAAAAATAAATTCAATATTGTAGGTATATCTTGTACGTTATTTATATCTACAGTGGCTACTGGCTAGTGAAAGACGCTACTGGTTTGTAAAAAGGATAATATGGTGGGAAAGGGTACTTAAAATTGAATTTCGTTTTATTGTTGCCATTTTAAAAGAATTGTAATTCTACGTTATTAGAAATTAGAATAGATTAATAATTCTAATATAACGTCTACTTCGTCTATACAAAGAGTAAAGGATGTAATTAAAAACGTTTAATTAAAATATATTTTGTTTTAAGAGGATGTTATACCCACATGCAGTCTTGGGGAAGTTACTTATTTTTGGTAATTAAATTACATTACTAATTACTTATCAAAATTGTAACTAAATTATTTTTAAGTTACTTTTTTTTAATATGGTTAAGTTACATTACTTTTGAGTTAAAAAAGTAACTGAATTACAATACAAGTTACTTTTTTTCAAAAATATCACTGGAGCTTAATAATAATGTTGTCAATATAACAATACATAAACTCAATAGGTAATACCAATAAAAAATTTGAAATTATTAGCAGATACTCATTTTGCTACACTATTATTATTATTATTATTTTTATTGAACTTAAGCCCGGAAACTATGACCATAAGCTGTTGTAGGGGATTATAAACTGTGGTTGGTAAATTTGGTATGGTAAGGTGTTGTTACGGTATTTATGTAAACACGTGTAAGTGTGGCAATGTTTTTACTACTACGAATCCGGGTGGTCACCCATCCGGGGACTAGTAGCAGCGGGTGCAACTTACTCTCAGTCGTATTGTGCGACTGGAAGCTAGCAGCCAAGCCACACATTTATTTATTAATTATTTTTTTTTTATATTAACTAACCCGCAGCAATTGGGTGGTTTTTAACTGAGATGGAGGGTACGGTAGGTTTTTGTAAAAACGTGTGTTTTAGCTTGAAAGAATTTCAAATTGGGCACCTGTAGTCTGCCCGTTACCGAGATTCCAACCAGCTACGGTGCGCGTTGCCACCAACGCCTTAGTCCGCTCGGCCACTCCGTCTCCCTCACTTTTATTATTATTATTTATTACTATTTATTGATAGTTCCAACAATGCTGTATACGTAGACGCTGACGCCGTGAGCCGTCCGCGACGATACAACACAGAGTACAGAGTAAAGATAAGAATTCCATTCTAAAAGTAACACTTTATAGTCGAACTATCAATAGCTATAACAAAAATAGTACCTACAGTTCATACAATTTTACCTATAAATTAAAATACTAATAAGTTATATTATGATATATTTTAATATTTACCTACACACAATATTATCAATAGGTACGTTCTAAAAAATGTATTAATCCAAAAAAAGTAACGAGTAATTTAGTAAAAATTACTACAAAAAAGTAACTTAAATTACATATAAATTACTTACAATAAAATGTAATTAAATTACCATCAAATTACTTAAAAAGTAATTTCGTTACAGTAACTTGTAACTTAAGTTAAGTTACTCCCCAACACTGCCCACATGTGTTTTCTCCGTCTTTCAAGTGGATAACTTTAGCAAATTTTACACTCAGCGAAACACGTGTAGCGTATGATTATTACTAGACAACCTCATGGGCTTTTTATTATATTTTAATTTTAAAGCGAGTTATGAGTATTTTAAAATTTTAAATAATTCGTACATTTTAAAGTACTCATAACTCGCTTTAAAATTAACATATAATAAAAAGCCCATGAGGTTGTCTAGATAATAATCTTACCTTTAGATTTTATAAGAGGTCAATTCACTCTAATTTTTAAGCTAACGGAGCTACACATGTTCTGCTTTGAGTATAACTTGCTATGTTAACACTTGTAATACGGAGACAACACATGTGGGTATAACGTCCTCTTAATCATTAATTATATATAGGATTGATAGGATTAATTACTATATACCTAAACACAGGAAATATTGTAATGTAGCACCAGCTATTTTGAATTATATCCAAGTTATAACTGAGCTAATTTTAGTCGAAATTCTTATTAAAAAAGAAGTATTTTCAAAATTTACTATTGTAAATAATATAATTTAATATAATATAGAACAAGACGTATTTTATATGGTATCCTGGACTGTTTAGTCAATGACCAATGTATATAGGTACCTACTATATTATGTCTATATAATATATAATATATAATATTTATTTATTTATTTATTAAGATTAATAAACTGGCTGAGCGTTTTGTTACAATTACACTAGCCATTTACATAATATTATATAATAATTAATAAATAGATTTACAAGATAGTGCCTACATTAAACTTTTTTAATATACAGAATTTAATTTAAAAGGTAAAGGAGGAGTCCACATTGGCGATGGACATAAAACGCCTTATGAGTTCATTTGATAATTTTATATATAGTTTGTGGTTAATAGTAAAATGGTAAAAGGGTATAATGTCGAACAGTTGTTGAGAAACATTAAAATTAACTAAGAAGTAAGAACAAGAGTGTGAGTGAGTTGATTTTCTCAGATAGGATGTTCATTAGGTACTCAGGAGATTGAGTGCATGTCTGCGATTAGCCAAGGATGTAAATTCTAGTCTGGTATATGTCACGCTTACGATTTAAAAGTTGTGCATTTATGCAAGTTATGCGTTTGAATATTTTATAGAACTCGATTACCAGCTATTATTGGTGCATAAAACTATAAAAGTACACAATACCATTGATAAAGTATATCAAAGTAATCAATGATGGCAATACGTGATTAATCAAATGTGTTAATACTTACCGCGATGTATCGATTTCTGTAAGACTTTCAGGGTCGCTGTTAAATCCGAATCGTTGAACTCGTAATATTGCGACCACCCCTGCGGTATGTATGTCCTGCGTTCTAACACTATGGAATGGAACCAGGCCAAAGCGTAAACAGATCGCATTTCGTCCGAAGATTTCCACACCACGTGCTCGTGCTTCCAGATGTCGTAGGCCCGTCTCATGTTCCTCTTGACGCCGTGAGGAGCTTCGTACGCGACTTTAACGCACGAAACAACGAACGAATGTTGAATTTTTTCGTTGGGCTCTGCGGTCATCCACACCGCGAACTTCTCGTGCACGTTCTCCAGCGACTTTAACCGTTTTTCCAACTCCGTTAGAAGGGACTCCGAACTCAGGTGTATGTTTTTCAAGACGACCCATTTCGGCTGTTTGCACAGTTCCTGCAGTGACTCGACTTCCCTCCGGTCTTCGCCTATAGCTATTTCTATACAATTTTCGTGTGTCATCTGTTTGGCCAACATTCTCAACTCGTCGGATGGGTCAGATCCGATGGACGTTATTATCATCACCGGTTCTGTGTTTTCTCCGACCAATTTAGATAGGCTCAACGTCGACGGTGATAAGTCGGTTAGTTCTAAAACGACAAAAATAGGTTGGTACATAATATTATTATTATAAAAAATTCCAATTCTAAAATCAAAACGATCTGTCTTAATGCATACTTAGTTGATTGAGTGAAAATTCGGTCAAGGCTTTATGCAATCTATCGGGCTTCAGTGCTTGTGTTATTAAAACTTGTTGAAAATTCGACACGTTTACAATATTTGGAATACTAGAATTTGTTGTTCCGACAAAGTCCTTCCAAATGTTTTGATTATCGAGTTGAAGCTTTTCGTAAAGTTCTGGTACCGATTCCTGATGTGAGAATATCGTACATTTTGTTTTAAATTTAAAATTAGAGATATAATATAATAGTTTTTTAATATTATTTTAATCTATCATAAAATATAATAATGTAAAACTATAAATATCGTCCTTGAGTGGCTGGACTTTGATTATAGCGAGTTGTGACGGGGAGGAGGAGGGAATAAAATCATTTGAAAATGTATGAAATAATTATATTTGATAGTAACAAAAACAGCTATGTTAATAATATTTATAATTAATTATTAAAAATTTTAAAAATAATAATAAATCAACAATGGATAGATATAAAATACTATTATAATACAATATTTTTTTTTAACCTTACATTGTATTTTAAATTTTTATATAAATTTAAATTCAATATTTAACTATAAACATTTAGTATCATTCAATAAATTACTCATATAAACCATGACTCTAAAATAACTAAGTTGAAAAATATTGAAAAATATAAAAAGAAACAAATTGATTCATTATAATTTACAAACAAAACATTATCTATATATATAGATATAATTTATAGATATCTATAAAAAAAAGCCAATGTTATATTTGCGTGGTGGAGGGTCAGGGGTTATCGTGCTAGGCTATACATTAATTATATAAATAATATTTACTTTTAACATGTAGACATCAAAAGCTCTGTTTTCGTCAATCCATTTTGGAATATTATCTTTGTAATTCAACCCTTCGTCAATATTTGTTGTTTTTTTTCCTATGAACAATTCCCATTCCTATATTCACAAATTAATCAATCTCGTTAGAGTTAAATAACCCAATTTTGAATATCGTAAATATAATTATAAATACTAACATTAGAACCAAAATCCTTAGGACTCAATTTATATGACAAGTATGTGGCGAATGTCAATCGTTGATCTTTGAAAAGCGATCTCGAAACATAATAATAAACCGTGTGCAACAGTCGTTTCTCTTGGTTCGTACCTCCGGTGGATTCCTGAAACGTATAAACAGTAAAAGTAATTTTCTCGTCCAACTAAAATCATTTTACAGTTAGTTATTATACTTTTAGTGTAGACTGAAACAGTTTGACAAATGTCGCCATAGAGATTTGACAAAAACGGTTGAAGACGAACAAATCTTTCAACGCAAAATATATTTTTGAAGCGTAACTGGAAAACGGTTTGTACACTTGACATTCAAACTCTAATTTGCTCTGCATTTTTAACGACTCATCGAGTGATTTTGATATCTCTGTGCTGTTGGTTTTTATACTGTCTAGTGAATTAAGAAGTTCCTAAATAATTGCATATATTGGTACCGTAGGTACAAAAATGTTATAACGTCATCACGTCTATGATTTTTAAATTACAAAAAAATAATAATTTTACTTGATTTTCGAGTATATTCCCTTGTGCCCCAGCCAAGTCCTTCAGCACGTTTTCTTGTAGTACATGAAGTTTAGATTTCAATTCTTCTTCTGTGTGCAACAGTTCCAAATGCATGGAGTCTAATCTAGGATTTTGTACTTTCAGTGCGTGTCGTAAAAGCTATAGAAATTGAATCAAGTTTCAAAATTAAAAATTATTGGTGTACCTAAGTAAAAAAATATGTTAATTTAGATGTGTACTTGTTCAGTGAGTCCAATATGATTTAGAGTAAAGTTAACAATTGTTAATAGTACTGATTGGTCTGAGGACAAGGTCAAGTCAGAGGTATTGCTGAATAGGTATAATTGGAAGTTCTCGTTATAATCTACCAGGCGGTCTGCAATTTGGACCATTTTTCTGCTCCCTAAGTATACATATTAATTTTTTAATAAAATATAATGAGTGATGACGATATTGCGATCTTCGAGTATTGTATAAAATTACCTTCAATTTTAAAGTCACTTCTCAATACTGGTACGAGTATAGGATCGATTTTGCTTACGTTACATATTACTATCGTTTTACCAAAACTTAAAACAAAATGTAATGTATTTTCATATTATTATTGGATGATACGTTTTAGGTATAAGGTATCAAAAATAATTTATAACGCTTACCGAACAGCTAATTCTAAACTTGAGTATAATTTTGGATTTTCAAACGACGTAAATTCTGTTGAATTTACCGGTAATTTTAATTTTAACCACTCCATGATATTGTTATTAGGGTCAATGATCAACGGGTAAAATTTAGCCTACACGAGTAAAATCATCATATTAGTACATATTATAGTCAGTTCTTAGTATATAAAATTATAAACACATTTTATCAACTTACCGAAATTTGAAGTGTCTTAATCTATACAAACATGTTTTTAAATAAATATTATATTATAAATAAGTAATAACAAAATATAGATAATTAATGTAGGTAAGTATATTGTCTACCTGTTTTAGTATTATGGCATTTTGATGAGATGTCTCGTCAGATGGCAAACCTTCAGTAATCCACTGCAGTATCTGACATTCAGATTCCATGAATTTAGAAAATGTAAATTCGTTTGATTTTAGTTCGTACTTCCATTTTTCAATTTTTTCATTGCGAATACTATCTGAACATTCCGATAAATATGTCACAAACGCTGACGCAAGTAGTGTGCTCAGCAACAGGTTTTCTAAACTTAACGACAATTCATTTACCTATGATAAATATTTAAAGCTATTAATTTACTTTGAATTTTGATTTAATGCATTTAAACATTTGCTGATATTTATACATAATTTATATATATAGTATTATAGTGTGTGAAGAATATTCTTCATATTTTCATATATTACATCATATTATACTGAGTTTTTTTGTTTTTATTTGTAGGTAAAACAATGTGTTTGTATTACTCAATAATTATCAGTACATAATAATTATCTAAGGTCAAAACTCAAATGTTTGATTATAATATTCTTAAAGTTCAAAAGTGAAAAAATTTCCGGAATTTGATAACGGTCTGTAAAGAAAATGAAAAGTTGTTTTATCGTTGTGAATAATGAGACAAAATATAAAAAATAATAACATTGTTAGGCTAATTAATAATTATTATAGATACAATATAATTGAAACAGTTAATTCTCGGTTATACTGAAATAGTTTATGATTCTTAACCATTTAATAGTCAGACAAAAACAAATTATGATTTACGTATATGATATGTATGTAAGTACCTAGGTAGGCAGTAAATTATATTAAATTTAAACTAACATCTATAACTTTATAAGACATTTCCTTTTAAATATTATTTTATATTATTTATGCATTCATAATAAATTATGAAACTATGTATTGAGTATTTGATAGAAATAAAATAAAATTATATTAATTGACTTTAGACAATGCACAATAATAAATTAAAATATTGATACTACGTGTTCCATCTATAATATAAATAAAACATAATTAAGTATTTTATTGTAAAACAATGTGCATAGGCGATAGGCGATTTAATATTCAAATTTACTAAATCTATAACTATAGTGCATATCTCAAGCTTTATTTATGTATTTACTATTTACTAATAACCTCAATTTTATAGTAGGTATAATTCTTTATAATTCATACAAATATCTACCTGTAAACCCCATCTCGAAAATTCGTCATCTAATTTTTCTACAAGTTTTTGTGCTGCTTCTATTGTTTTTTTCTCTTTGTTAATGTTTAATTCGATTTCTGCCGCTTCTTTAGTGTTGACAGTTAACTGCTCCCTTAATTCTGACACATTTTTATCGACACTGTCTAACCCATCGCTTAAGAGTTCTATTTGCTCTTCGGCTTTTTGCAATTTTCTGTATCAAATAAAATATACGTTTTGCATGACCGTACATGGACGTTTAAACTTTGAGCTAACTGCAAAGCGTGACTCAAAAATACATAATATTATTAAATAAATTAAATAATTACGATTTCAACGAAGCGTGTTCGGTTTCCAATGGTCTTATTTTGTGAAGTATGTGAGAGTACTCGACATTGGCTACTACCCACGAAGCCAGAGGGGCCGCCGCCGCCGACGCCCTTTTCGCGTTTTTTGAGTCGAACGAATCGCGTTTGGACTTTAAAAGCCTCTCCACCGAGTCCCTGTTGGACTCCGAAATCCTGCGCGCGTCGAAAAATCTTATGTCCTCCTTGACGCCCCTCTTTGCCAGAAACGTTTTCATGCTGTTCCATGACGTGTCCTGTATGCCCATAAGCCGCAGCACTCCCTCCAATATGTCCCTTATCACTTCTGGTGGTGCTCGAAGTGATCGGATCTCCGTCAGAGCTTCAGATTTTATGTTGCTCACGGCTGCCTGAGACTCTTCAATCAATGGTTCGACTTGCGCAAGCTCTTGATCGATTTCTTTTTTCCTAAAATTTTTATTTTATCATATTTCAAGACACCAATCGTGATAGTTATGTATACAATTGATGGCTATTTAAATTACGATTGACACTTGACATTTTTTCGCATACCTACCTATATATTTTATTCTATATCGCTGTAGAGTAACCTAAGCAAATTTGTTTTATACTATTTGATTTCGATAATTTATATTTTTACACCTTCAAACACGAATCAAGTTTCTTATATTTATTTAAAATATTATATAGGTTACCTTTGGTTTAAAACATCATTTTTTATTTGAAATTCTTTTCTAAGACTTTCCATTTGTTCTTTTTTCGTATTAGCTCCTTGCATGGTTCTAGATATCATATTCAAGGCTTGATTGGCCTTTTCTTGTTTTTCTGCTAGTTTCGTTTCTTGAGCTCCGGCGTCAGATTTCAATTTTGCCACAATGTTTCTGGCATCAATTAACTTCGATAATCCAGCCTTTGAAACATTTAATAATAATACTAATAGTTTATTAACTTCCATATAAAGCAATTGAGTTTACAGACCAGTCTTCATAAAATTATAAAATTAATTTATTAGGTAACTAAAGTAATAATGATAATAGTATTTAGTTTATAATGATAATTTTGTTTTATATATATTATAATAAAATATATAATTAAAAAAACATATTATATCACTTGTATAGTTATATTAAGTAATTCATATTTTTTTATTGTACATATACTACTGAACAATAAAAAGTATTTGGAAATTGAATATTATTAAACATAAAAACGATTTTAAAATACACTATAATTTACATTACTTTTAAATGAGCCATTCTTTTATTAATCGATTCTTGTTTGTTCAGTAATAAGACACTAAATGTTTGTAAAAATGATAAGTAGCGTCTTGGACAAGTGTTCATCCAGGCTTCGGCTTCTTGATGAATACTGGCAAAGTACGAAATATGTTCTTTAATATTTGGAAATTCATCCATTATTTTATTTCTGAAATTTATGATTGAATAATAAATATTTATATTTATTGTACGGTTTCAGAAACAACTTTTTGAATATCAGCTCCGGTATTATTTCCATAGTTTTTTCATCCCATCTATCAAGCCATATGACGTGACTGTGATCTAGCACTGCTGGGCTGTTTTCTAAACAATTGTTGAAGAATTCACTTTCTGAATCCAAAATCATTACTACGTGTAAATTATTTTTTACTCCTGAAATCAAGCAAATACATTACAGTTGGATTTTGACAATGATGTGCTTTATTAACACATTCTATGGGAGATTAATTATTTTACTAAACTATTAATATTGACATACTTTGTGTAAAAAAATTGGTCGATGTTCCGTCGAAATTCTGTTGAGACATTTGATCTTTGAGGGGTGCACATAACGATTCTAATTCTTCATTTTGATAGAGCCCCATCACTTCACCAGACACTATTAAACAACTTACGATATCCAATACTTCATTGTTTACAATGTGATATTCCTCGACAACATAATAAACCTCTTCGTTGTCTACCCCACATGTTTGCATTATCTAATTTGAAAAATAATATTTTTATATAAGCTATAATCGTATTATAAAATCTTTATGTAATACCGTTTTAAGGTCGTTTTTAAATGCATTTAAATTAAAAACTGGTCGTATTTTAGGCGACACGACGGTTGCATTATGTCTGGATGCTACGATTCTTACGGCCAAGTTTCGTCCTATTCCCGAACGTCCTACCAATAGCAGACACCCTCTAGGGTTTGTTAAAACCCTTTCACAATAGGCTGTAATAAGGTATAGTAATTCTGTGTTCAACTCAACTTCCTGATTCGTGGTTTCTAAATGAAATTTAAAAACGTAAAAAATATTTAATGAAAACTGAATGATAAACAAATTATATAGATTTGGAATACCATTTGTGACAATACATTTTTCAATTATTTTTTTCCATTCTTCCACGTTAACTTTTGATAGTAAACTAATATTTTTTGGATCAATTTTTCTTTGGCATATATAAACAACATCTAAAACATATTTATATATTATATTTGGGAGACGACGGAATAGTGATCTCACAATCATTTAATATTTTCATATTAATTAATATAGGTACCTACTATATTTCTTATATTTTTAATCATAAAATAATTTGTAAATAATCGCGAGTAGTACAATTTTTTCGAAATTTAAACTTGAAACTCATATAAAAATAATGTTAAAACTTAATTGTATTGTTCTTTATCGTATTATATTTTATTAGTTTACAAATAACCTTTTTAACTATTTATTTTATAATTATAATGGGGTTAATATTACAAAACTTTATTGAACCAATTTGCTTATTTAAAGTAATGAAAATAAATTTAAATTAAAACTTATCAAATAATATTATTACATTAAAATGTTAATATGTATAATGTATATGTGTAATATTATATAATCACCTTCATAATTGAAATTCAAACGAAGATCTGAATAAATCTTGTTAATTATTTCTTCGAATTTTGACTTATCTTCATACTTCACTAGTCGATCATTAAAAATACGATTTGCTTCGAAAAATAAAACCTGAAATATGGTTTTATTAATATTGAACGGGGTAAATATTATTTTTCTATTACTCGAGCTGCATTATTTCCATCATTAAATTTGTATCGGCTTAGATTTTGACATAACTCCACTAAAATATGATTTGTAAATGTGTAATGAGGTGTATGTACTGATGTAAGCGTTTCTCTAGTCTAGAAAATTATTAATACAGCTATTTGTTATATTTAAATATTTAATGAACTTATTTGTTACAGGTATTGACTACCCGATAACCGATATAATAAATACCTTCACTAATAGATCTACTATTGCATTAGTAATTGTTTCTGAATTGTCTTCAATCACTGTGCTTACGTATTCTAAACAAATCTTTTTAAGTTCATGTTTTTGTGGTGTTCTATAAAATATGTTAACGTTTGAAAATATATTATCATTTTAATAAAATATAATAGCTTTGAAATTTTTTATTTACTCGATATGTAAAATGTTACTAGCTGATACAAGCCTTGGGTTAATGCCGTCAATTGAAGTTAAACTATTAATTATTACAATATTAGAGTCAATTCCCATCCATTCCAAAGTAGCAGGGTCATAAAATCCTCCAAAAAAAATTAACTAAAACATATTTAATTTTCATTTATAACATTAATATCAACAAAACATCATAACTAATTATTTTTCCTTTTCAAACACCAACATTTTTACAAACAATTATTGTTCTGAATAATGTTACTCTCACTTGTTGTATAAATGCAGCTAAATGAATAGAACCCCATTTATCTGGTTTGACGTGATTTAAATTTTTGAGATGCAAAATTAATCGTTCTGAATTTCTTGGCCGATAAATTCTTCCTTTGTTGTTAGAAACTACCACACATACCTCGAAAACAATATGGTAAGTATGTGATTAAATAAATATTAATTATCATAGGCGAACTTTGGTGGCTGTTAAAATTAAGTAAAAAAAAAATAGTCGAACTTGCCTTTTAAATATTTTAGTGAAAGAATATATTTTTATCTAAAATTTAAAATTTAATATTTTCTAATGGAAATATAGAAAATTTATTATATAAATACTGTCTATAATAACATATTTAACTGATGTGGGGAGGGTCAAGAGTAAGTTGATCTATATGGCATATGAGTCCAATTCATTAACACACGTAATTTTATTTTAATGTTATTTTAATACCTGTGACATTTTTAATAAAATCTGTTCTGGTGAAGTATGAGCACTACAATGGATTGTTACGCATTCAATACCTCTTAAAAGATTGGTAGATTTAAAAATAATTTTGCTGAAAAAATAAAAAGTTTACGACCTAAGTACCTCGTAATAACATTTTAACGAACCACTATACCTTTTACCCGATGCCGATGGCCCAACAACAAAAATTGATGTGCTGTGTTGCATCCATTTGACTAAAATATCAGAAGCGTTTGCTATTCTAGGTGTTTCAATTAAATCACCGATTTTGTTCCCAAATAAATTTGAATTTTCCGTGTCTAGTGAATTGTAAGCTTCTATATTATCTCTTGTTTCATTGTAAAAATAATATTTTGTGTCATTCATTTGTGGCACATACTCTCCAAACATTTCAAAAACCTTTTATAAACACCTTATTATAAAGCGAGTGGAATGATATTAACGTGTTTTTTTTTAAAATATATTTTACTATTTCTGTAAATTTATCTCTATGCGATGAATTTAAATTCGCTCCTAATCCGTTAATTAGACAAATGGTGAAATGGGATTTCGATTTAACGTCGGTTAAAAGATGTAAGACATTTTTTACTGTTGATATTGTTGAACATGGACAAACAAGCTGTCCGTTGATTTCCAGCCATTTCAGAGCTTTAAAATATTCAATATAACATAACTATAATAACTTCAACATAATATAACTATTTTAAGTTTATATTTTTACCTTTATAAAATTGAATTTCGTAATCTTTTACAATATTATTATTGGAAAATTTATTAATCCAAGAATCAATTACATTTTTTGTACTGGTGTCTTCTTCGCTGCAGTATACATAACATTAATAATACTTTTTTGGTATAGGAATGTCAATCATATTTTATTTTTATTACCTGAGTAGAATTATACCCATTCTCGATACGGTCGCAGGAGATGCATGCCTAAGAGAGTGAGTTTCAAAAATAAAATTTATATTATTTCCAAATTGGATTCTCCAACCAGATGGTAATGTCAATAATCTATTATCATCTAAGACTGAATTAAGCGACTCTATCCATTCGGGGTCCACATCTCCATCAAATATTATCCAAGAAATGATATCTATAAAATATAACTTTGATCAATAATTATCAAACATATTGTAATGTTTAAAAAATAATTTTAATTGTGTGAAAAAAACCATTGATTAAATTGTAGTTGTAGACCGTAGTTATTGTTTATGTCTTTCTTTGGTGGTAAAACAATATTTTATTTAGGTCTATACCTATTACATTTTTTAATTGTCTATTATTGACAATATTGAAATATATTTTATTGTTGATACAAAAATGTTTCGATTTAAAAAAAGATGAGTCTTAGAGTTTAGGCATTATGGCGCCCATTATTGTTATCTTGAACTTAGAGTAGGTTACACATATCTTTATCATTTTATTAATGACACTATCATTTATTTATTTTACTGTGATCTGTAACTGTAAGTTTTATATATTTTTTATCATTTTAACTTTTGTTATGTTATTTTAGATCATGAGCTGAGCGTTGAATGGATTGCTTTTACAATGATGTGTGTGTGTGTGTGTGTGTGTATTGACTGTGTAAACTACTTATTATAGTCATCACTCATCACCTAGTTAGTTAATGCTTAATAGGTAGTAAAATAAATTAGTTTAATCTCAATAATATTATAAAATATATTTGGTAATTAGTAATATTATAGGCTAATGCTGACGGTCTGTCTTCACTCAGAATTGTTTTTCATATACAATGATTTTATATTATTGGATTCAAATTACATCTATTATAGTGACTTCTCTAGACACCTAATGTACAGCAGAGCATTACCCACTTGCCCGCTTTTTATTATTATTGTTGATAAATAATACTCATGGATAAATCGTTTTTACCGGGATTTTCTGAATATGCTTGTTGAGCAGCTTTACTGATTATGCCATCGATCCACTGACGTGTATCCAAATCTACTTTTCCTAATAATTGCGATCGTGATTGAGCTTTTGGGTTTATTTTATGTATTTTTATATTGTTGTTAGTGGTTAAGGCCTGAAAAATACAAAAACTCATTTACGACCATTCGAAAAAAAACAACAATGCTTTTAAACGTCATTACGCGTGACAATAGTTGAATTATTGTTGTTTTTCCGGTCGACGGTGGACCCATTACCACCACTCCCATGCGTTGTTGTAATTGTTCGTAAAGTTCAATACATTTTTGTTCCTTAATAAATTATAATGTACATTTAACGCACTTAGATCGTGTTAAAGAATTTTAAATTCAAAGATTTACTTGTCTTGGATTAATTTGGAATTCCATATCCTCGGCTGCTTTCCGTATTTTCTGAATCAATGTATCATATATTTGAGTGCTGTTAATGACTTTTACTTCAGGAAATATATTTGAAATAAGCGATTTGAATAGTACGCTGTCGTCAAACGTTAGTTTTGAAATCGTGTTCAATTCTAACGCTTGTACGGCCACCGAACATTCCTCCGAAAGTGATTTTAAAGTCACCGCCGAAGCCTTTAAGATTGTACCGCAAAAACCAATAACCGTCTTCAAAGCTCGAAGACCCCAATCGTAATGTTGTTGATCACTCAACAATTGCCTAACGGAATCGATTTTATCATTAAATATATTATACCTTATAGCTAACTTAAACTATTGTATATTAATTTAACAAAATTTTACTTGGCAGAATCAAAGGTTTCTACGAGTTTTTTAGCTATCGTTTGCGGGTGTTTAAATCCTTCGGCGTGAAGTGTTACGTTAGCTATTAAAGTTTGGTCTGGTTTACTCATAATTACAGGTCTGAAAAGTTGCTTAAGATTGTCTGGTAATTTATTTCTACCACCATAACCTTGTCCTGCTGGATTTAATGTTACAAATATCCCCGCGTTCAAATTCAAATCAATCTGAAATATATTATTTTTAAATCATTAGGCTAAATATATGACCTCCTGCTTAATTGTTTGCTTAAATTTGTAATCTAATCATCACTGGGTTTAGTATATGTATTTATTCTTTGTTCATAAATTTATAATATAATATATTATATATGATTACCTATATTATTACCTATATTATTATTACCTATACTTATAGGTTTAATTTAAAAAAAAAATAATTAATACGTACATTTGTGGTCCACCCATTACTAGTCATTACCGCACACAAATGTATACGTATATTTTTCACATGACAAAAAAAGCCATAATTTGGAACTTGGAAACTTGAAAGTTGAAGACATTCATTAAAATTGTTGGAACATTTTTTTATGCTTATGAATTAATCTTTCGGTACCAGTCATTAGTGCGAGCCATCTGGTTTTACTGTAGTCCAGTAATTGCTGGTACTCAGTTCCAGCAATCTAACAATTTTTTTTTTTTGTTAATTCTTAGTCTTCCTTTTGGAAAACGGGACATTTTAGTGTTCCGAAGATTCCCCAGGGGACAACGGGACAGAGGTACAAAAACAGGACGTATATGGTCATCCTAGTATAAAAATATCTAGTATATAAACGCTATTAAAATAATTTTAATGTAACGCAGACAATTTTGATTTTTTAACTTTGTTTGTGTATTATGATTTTATGGAATTTTAATTGAATGCTATGTAATATTTTTATATTTCATTTGCATTGGTTTTTTACCTATATCGTACTATTTTTGTATGCGGAATCAGGCTGTATATTTTATAAATATGTGCGTTCTCATACTAATGTTGTTAGTTCAGTCATTTAATGATTTGTTGAGGAATTAAATCGAAAAGTTTGGTTATAGGCTCCTGATTAACCAAAAAAAATTTGCCATTCCTCCAAGGTCCGGAAGTGTCTGCCATCTTGGATTTTAAGTGTGATTTTTCAGTTATTTTAAATTATCTTTGAAAATACTAATTTTATATCAAAAACACCTCTATATAAAAACTTATCTGATAACATTTTAAACAAATAAGGTTTTATTATTTTTTTTTTTTGTAGCTTGAATAGGTTAAGAACAAAATTTAACCATGTCTTATAATATTAAACGCGGGGGGCTATAATACTATATATAGGCTGCACGTAGGCGGCGTGCCGCACTTGTGTCCACTAGAAAACGCAATATTAACATATTACAAATAAACATTATTATTGATATACTCTATATTATAAATAATTTAAATATTATATAATCATATAATATATACACCTCGTATTATATTTTAGTAAAATATAAATATTAGGTATTTTATAACATTATTATATAGGATTATAGGAAGGTACATTGAATAATTTACAGAATTAATACAACATTTTAATCTAAAAAACCGCACTTAAAATCCAAGATGGTGGACACTTCCGGACCTTGGAGGAATGGCGACTTTTTTTTGGTTAATCAGGAACCTATAACCAAATTTTTTGCAAAGTTTCAAAATTGTCCGATTTAATTCCTCAAAATACCAATTTTGGAGCTTAAATGACTGGACTATGTGCGTGGTATTGGGTTATGTTTGTGCGATAAAGGAAAGGGCAGTATTAATCGTAATATTTTAAATATTTAAAAATAGTCACATAAATACTTTACCACTGACAATCGTAATTATACAATTTAAAGGAACCAGATTAAATCATTTCTTAGATGGAATTTATAAAATAAATTATGCTTCAAAAACTTAAACTTCGAACCTTCTGATTTTCTAATATGAAGCTAGTTTCTTTGTTTTTAATCGCTTCTTGTATTGGATGTATTCTTGTTGAGATCATTGACAGTGTGGAATCTTCTAGTCGATTAAATTCGTCAAAGCATCCCCAAGCTCCACACCTCGCCAAACCGATTAATATTCGTGTTAAAGATCTGATATCTATACCTTCATCGCAGTTAAAAACCAACACTTGTCGGCCAAATAGATATCCGAGAGCTTTGATCGATTCTGTTTTTCCGGTTCCAGCGGGTCCGTATGGATTTCCTCCAAATCCCATACTCATTGCCTGATGATAATAAGAACATTGTCATTCATGAGATCAATAACAGGCTATAGCTTCAAAGGTGCCTTTAATGATTAATATATAATAGAAATAAAATACTTGTGTGAGTGTTAGATAACAGTTATCTGTGAGTGGCGTGTGAACCAGTTTAGGCGATATCCCTTGGTATTCGTAAGAATACGTAAATTCCGAATCCACCATTCTAATGATTATTTCACCACCAGAATGTGAGTAAAACCTTTGGCACAAATGTATTGATTGATTCGTTTTATTTCATAAACAAGTATAAAATATTACAACGCATTAGTTCAAACCTTATTCTTCTTTGCCATTCCCAATCGTGGATAGATGACACTCGCAAATTTATAAGTTCGTCTACTACACTTATATGATGTATTGTGTCTAAAATTAGGCCCTTTATTTTTAAGTGTAGCACATTTTCTCCACTTACAGTACTTTCAAAATTTAATGCTGTATAAGTATCTAGTTGATTCTGAAATCGTTTAACATTTTTATTTTCGATTTCATTTAAGACAATTTAAAATATAATATAAATGAAGAAATACAATTTATTAAAAATTGTAATTCTTATAAATTGTGATTATACTGATTAAAGTTCGTGTATAGATTATACTATTGATTTTTCCTACTTATGTCAAAATAAGAGTATTAATTACTTATAATTATAATGTTTAAAATATAATTCGGTTACTTTTAGAGACTTTTGTAATTGCTGTAATTGTTGTTTTTTTATTGCCTCTTCACATCTTGAACTGAAGAGGACTTCATTTACCATACATAAAATCTGTGACGGGTATTTCAAAGGGTCTAGTTCTTTTAGACAATTCATAAAACATGTTTTCAACGTATTAGTTATTTCTTGAACAAGCAATTTAAGCCATTCCTGGGAAAAATTAATTATATTAGGACATTATTAACTTAATTAGGTGCACCAATTAAGTTTTAAAATATTATTGTATACTAAATAAATTAAGTTTATTTTTTTTTTTTTTAGTTGAACACATGTCATAAACGTGACAAATTAAATTAAACATTTTAAACCAATATAATTACATAAAGATTTAAATAGCAGCATATTTTTATAATTTTATTTTTATAATTAACACCTATGTACCTAGTTTAAACACTAAAGTATTTATCTATTTAAAAATTGTTATAAGCGTCCAATAAAAAAATATTGTATATATTTTATAATACCTCAATTTGATTGGAAACTTGAACCGGCTTGTCAAGGTTTACTATTTCATTTTGAGGTGATTCTATTGCTATTATATTTCCAGACGAGTTGAACTGTACGTTTCTTACGCCACTAAATAGTTTTTTAAGATGGGCTTGTACTACAGATACTTTTTTTGTTTGCCCAATCATTTCTAATAGATCTTCATCACTGAGAAAGTAAAATCTCGGAAAACTCTTTCTTTTATCCTTTATATAATAAGATCAAATAACAATTTATTACCATTGAATAGTAGTATAATATATAATTCTGAACATTTACAATTATTTAAACAAATAAGTACACATTTGTTTACCTCTAGAAAATCGTTTAAACTCTTTTTCGTTGTTGCTAATAAGTTAAGCATGGATTCCAACAAATGTTTTATGTTATTTATTTTCAAAAACTGTAATACTTTTGAATCTAAAGATTGCTGTAATATATATTTAAAATCTCTATCCACTCTATCAAATCTCAATTTTACTTCTTTGTCAATTTTCAATGCACCACTACCGAATATTGGGTCTAAGTATAGCCATCTGCCAAAATTAACGATCTACATTAATATTTATTTACTACTATATGAATAATGTATTAATCTAAACCTATCAAATTACTTACTTTCTTTGTATATGGGAAAATTGTCTTAGGTATGCGTCGAGTTCCATTAATTTAACTTCCCACACATTAGACTTGTCTAGAAATTGTTCATCGTTTGAAGTATTTTTAATTGACTGTAATAAACATAGTTTCTCTCCAATCTATTCAAACATGAAAAAATAATATTTCGGTACAGCGAGATAACTTTTTTATAAAAATATGTATATTGTACTTCTTCATCATGTGTATACTATTGCGAAATGCGTGTTAATACTACGAATCGAATTTTTTTTATGTAGAAACATTCGTCTTACCGAGCTGAATATAGTTTTAAAATCGTTGATGATCCGAATAGTATGGCCTTTAGAATCGACATAGTTTATAGTAGAGAAATGAGTTTCAAATTCCCATACATCTAACTCTGACAGTGCTTGTCTGATTGTAATTTCATTAGTTGCTTTAGTATTTAATTCCTTCAAACATACATCTATATTTTTTTAGGAATCTTTATTTTGCGTATTTTTAGTTTTACCTGTAAACTAGTTAGTTTTTCTTTGATTTTATCTTTTACAAAAATAAAATCCTCAAATTTTAATTGTTCAATATGCTTATACGGAATTCCAATTAATGAAAACATTTCGATCCAATGTTTTTCTGTAAAGGTTTCTCCCTGGACATATTTAATGCAAAGCGAAAAGGCCTAACATCAACATAATTTTACAACACAATTAACAATTTCAATTCAAACGTTAAATTAATAATGTGATCAATAAAATTACTTTTAAGGTTTCTAATTCGTTGTGTATTTTAATTGTTAACGGAGATGTAGTCGTTTCTTTAAGTTTCTCTTGCCATTTTAAAATAAAATCCATACATTTTTTATAAGCTTTTCCACGAAATACAATCCATTCTTCTTGTCCGATGCTTTGCAAATCTGAAAGTAATTTTATCATTATTTTTAATATACATTTTCAATTTTTTATTATAGGCATTTTTTTAACCTGAATTAAATTCATCATAAAGGCCCCATATGTTTTCAGAATGTAGCAAATCATTTTCGATTGAATCATATGAACTGAAGTCTGGTATATCAATGTAAGCATCTTTGCAGTCATTTCTATACAACAAAAAAAGGTTTTCTAGAAATTATATGGATTTTGTATAGTTTACAATCGTTTGATAATCATACACTATTTTTTCTTTCTGTTCTTTTAGCGTATTCCATTCGGCACGACTGTCTTTTAAAAATTCAACTATATTTTTCAACTTTGAACTATTTTCGTCTTCAAACCCTTTTGGTCTATATTGTTGCCACTTCGAATGAAATGCATCGAACATATTTAAGACGGTTTGCATTTCCGCAGTTAAATTACTTTTCATTGCATCTATCTGCTGTTTCATAACCATTTGATGATTTTCTAGCATATTTTTAAAGTTTTCCCAACTGGATAAGGCCTGATTCATTTTATCGACTTTTTCATTTGTCCAATTCGATAAAACCTTTTGTTTTTTTATAATTTCCAAGACTATGAGATTCATCTAAAAAGAAAAAAAGTTAATAATTTCTGTTTTATGATCAATCTTTTTTATAAATGTATTACTTCGTATGACTCGTCAACTATTTTTTTATGATTATTGTTAACTTGTTTTGTGGATGAAGTTTGTTGTTGAAGCATGTTGGTAGATTCTTCAATAAATTTGTTTAACCTAGCAATGTCAAATAAAATCGATGAATGCAGTAATGTAGACATTGTATCCCAATAACGACGATTGTGCGTCTCCAATTCTAAACGCACTGCTGCAGTGCTAACAATAAAGCACTCGACATTTAACTCAGCGCTACAATATTAAATAGTAAAACAAAAATTATTTTAATACTTATTGTACAAGTAATTGCAAATAATACATTAAATATAAAATCACCAGTTAAATTTAGCAATCTGTTGACCCCACGATTTTGAGGATCTAAAATTGTTTTCCCATTCGTGGGCCGTCTTAATATTTTCTTGAATCATTTTCTCAATGTCTATTGACCCAAGTGAAACTCTATTTTCCCATTCTTTTAAAATATTTTCTAATCTCTCAAATAACTGTTCGGCTCTTAAGAATAACTTAGTAAATTTGAGAGCATTACTTGTAAAAATAGTAATCATATATTATTAAACTATTAAAAAATATAAAAATACAATAATTATTTTTACATACCGGTCTACAATGGATGCAAATATTGAAACAGACGAATCCACTATACCACGAAAACCAATTGGTACTGATATAAATTTTTTCAGAAGAGAAAAATACTTCATTCTAATCTCTTCTATTGGAGGGTTAAACTTTAACTGTCTTTGCCTAATGGAAAAATAAAAATTTATTTAAAAATGATTATATCCTTAATAATATAATAAATTATACCTGTACACAATTTCTATTCTAAAATCTGGCAAATGTTGATTTAAAGCTTCTAGTCCTATTTGATATCTATAGTTTAAGGCTTTGTATATTTGAAAATCTAAGTGTGTTTTCCATGCTTCACAGTTGGAGAACTTTTGTAAAAACGATCGTTATCACTCATTTAGATATATTTTATTACATACAATATAAATTATAAATGTAGGTACGCTTTATATTACTTTTTCCTCGACTTGGCTCACAATATCTCTGATGCTTTTTAATCCGACCTTCCATTGTTGTTGTTCTTGCAAGATATCAATGCTCATAAGATTTATAATCTAACATACGTTTTGACACAAAATAAATTTTATTTTATATTATTATGATAGTAAAAGGTTAATGAGACGTTTTACTAAAGTTTTGTTATTTAGCTTACCTTATTGGATATGGATTGGTGGTAATTAGCTAACGTTTGATTTTCAAGTGATATTTTCTCCATTAGTTTTCGCATTTCAAGTATGTAAATATCAACAGAATCGATATCGGTCCATGTGACGCGTTGTTGCTGTTTAACTAGATTTAACAACTCAATTGCTGACGACAACATCATAGGCCTTTGAGAAGAGATCATTCGATCTCCTATTGTATTATGAAACGAAGCTATCTAAAGTATAGAAAATATTTTTATCGTTATTATGAACTAATCATACACCAAATATTGTTGAATAAATATTTTAGTTACATACTTGTTCGAGAGATTTTGCTTGCCGTATAAATTTGCTTCCCATATCCGACACATTTACTATCTCCGACGGAATATTGTAGCCAAGAATTTTTAACATTTTTACCTCTCTAATTAGTAATTCTATATCTGGATTAAAATTGACTTTCATCAGCTTATTGGATTGAAAATAAATCACAGGCTCATCAGAATTTAACCTTTAAATATAAGGTAATTTTAGAATTATTTTCACCCATAACTATTAGATATTAATAATTATTGTTCATTGCCATATTGGCATAATATTGTAGTCAATAGTCATATAGACTACCTTAGCATAAATGTAAAAAATTTAATTATTTTCTACCTATTGTGGCTATTGAATATATTGTCTATATTTTAATTTTAAATATAGTTTTCAAGCACATACATAGTATAATGTTCAATTCATCGTGGGTATTATGAACTTTTTAATAATAAAATAAAATATAATTCATATGTTCATAAAATGCAATCATGCAATTGAGTTAATCGGAAAATATGTCTAAAATAAAGTATAATCTGTATTCGGGTTATTGGTTATCGCGACTACTACTATACCAACGGTTCTCAGGTAAACTCAATTCTATCTATTTTAGTATCGATATAATTTACTATTTATTTTAATAATATAATGGTAGCCAAGCCAAAAGCCAAACATCTCTCAGGGCAACCTTTCTCTTGTTTCTATTAATTAATAATAAAAGAGAAATATACTACTCAAATGGTTACATTTCATGTGGCGTAGGACATTTTTTTAAATCTTACAATATTGCTGCTTAAGTGTACGAAACTTTTTAGGGAAGCGCTTGACCGAAGTTTTCATATTTATTTCTTATTTTTATAGGAGTTGACTATAAATAATTGTTAAATTCAATATTTTTATAAGGTAAAAACACTCATTTTTTATTTTAGACAATATTTAGGTATATTATTTTTATTTCTTATATTTATAGACTACCAAATTAATGTCATAGGACAACAGTGAATAATACATACCTACAACTATTCAATATTCATGCGACGTTTATTAATTAATATCGTTTTTCGTTTTTAAAAGAAAGGACTTGTTTTACATTTAAACCTATTCATATATTCTTCATATAATTTATATTTTATTTGTATGTTTTCGAGAAATTACAAAAAAATAAAAATATATTGTCCATAAAATTCTCATGTGCTATTAGAGTCATCGGTGAAGACCCATGGCTGTTAATTGTTATATGAAACGTACCTACGTCCTACATAGCATATCTTAGTAGTTTACTTAGCACTACTATTTACTAAGTAAGCATATTATGATTAGCAAAGCTATTTTCAGACTCAAATTTAATAAAATATTACGGTTTTATTGTTTCTTCATTGAAATATGTGTATGTTTTTTAGAACTTTAGAAATACGCCTATAACTATTAAATTATTTACAAAGGTGTAACTTTTAAATAGCTAAAATTTGTTGTACCTAAAACTTTTGTTAATGACTGCAGATCTTCTATCTTTTATCCAATTACCATAGGTCTCTGTAACCATATTGTTAATCATTTTCTTTTGAACCGTTAATGCGTCTTTCAGTTTTTGATAATCATTTAAATTAACTAGAATGCGATCGCTTACTTTTTCGATGTCATTTAACTGAAATTAATATATTGTTAGCGTTAATAAACGTAATAAAAAAAATTTATCAGATAGTAATGACTTTTTCAATATGAGTTTTAAAGTTAGTGAGTAATTAGAGTTATACCTTAGCTTCCTGTTGTTTCAACGAATATAAATTTCGTACGATCGGTTCTAAACCTGCTAGTTCTAGAACATTCATTTTTGGTTCTCCATCAATATTATCTCCTATTACACTGATAATTTGTTTTAGGCAATTCAGAAAATTTTCCAATTCTCCTTTGAGTTGAACATACATTTTTGGCCTTTCTATTATTTCTTGGTAGTGAGTAAATTCATGAATAAGCTATATTTGAAAGTTAATAATAAAGTATTGATAATTAAAATATACCATGAAAAAAATTCAATAATACTATTATTATACTATTACCTCTACGGTGTTTGATTTTTTACTATTAATCAAATTTCGAAGTTTCCCAGCAATTAAATCTTCAGCTGGTTGCAATTTTTGTTCAAATTTTTCCACAGCAGCTTCCCATTTCTGTTTTGTGTAAGTATTTAACTGACTTACGTCATTGAATTCTACACATTCAATAATAATTATTGTTTTAGTGCAAACGTTATCAGTTAATAATAATATATAGTATAGCCTATAGGTAGTCAAATAGTCAATAACGTTAATAAACGCATTGAATTAGACGTTTTTAATTTTTACCGATAAATGATTTCAAATTGTCTGATGTTCTTAATTTTTCTTGCTCGTAGGCAGTCAATAATTTTATCATTTGTTTATTTACGCATAATATTGATATTATCTAAAATAAATATTTAATTAAAATTGGGTTACTCATATTTATATTTAAGGCTAACTTCTTTAATGTGATTGGAAAATGTGATTAAGTTTTTCGGCAAAAATTTTGGACCAATCCATTTATGATAAGTGTAGTTAGGCCAATACAACATAGTCAGTTGTTCACACGTTTTAATCCATTTGTTACAGGTTTTCATACACATTTTAAACACATCGATATTTTCATTATGATCTCCAGTCCATATATTCATATCACTTGTTGTTCGTTGAATTAGTTTTATCATTCCATTTCCGATAACTTCAAATAAATGTTCCATTCTGGTTTGAGGATATTTAATTTCTTCGATTTTCCATATGTCATCGAGACAGTTGTGTACGTTTTCTAAGCATTCCTCCATGTCCTGGATGGACGATTCTCTAAAAAATGGTTATATTGAGATTAAGTAATATAATATTATACTATTATGTATCCATATAAAATATAATCTAAATAATACAAAAAATACAAAAAATAATAGATACTTTAATTGTTTTGTTACGGGTAAAAATAAAGAACATATTTTTCTAGCTGCGATTGATTCTTCTTTATTTTTTGTATGTTTTTGTACAACACACCAATAGTCACTTTCATCCTCGATATCTAGAATAGCTACGAACAAAATATAAAATTGTTTCAATATTTCTCGTTTAAATTTACAAAATGTACATATTTGTATAAAATTACCTCCTAAATGAGGTTCAATTGAATTATTTGATTGATGATGCGATGACTTTAAAATTGTAGTTTTTAATCCCATTTCGAGGTCTGAAATCAGACATTGTAATGTCGGGTCGAGTTTTATATCCGATTCCGTATCCTATGAATTATTATAACAAATATGAAATAATAATTAAATTTATATTTATAAGAATTTACAGCCAAATTCACGTTTTAACAAATCCTAACTAACATACGTACCTATAACTTATATACATATTTATTTTATTAATTACTTTTAAAAGTGAAGGTGTGTATATATGATGCAAACTATGATAGAGTGCTTCTGTTGGAGAATCTAACATGGAATACACGCATATAATTGAGTGTAAATTATCTTCTGTTATACTTTCAGATCGTGTTTTATAAAATACTACTACTTTGTTGTTCTGATTTTTTTGAAAAGCCTATAAATAATAAATAAAATATTGACCAATAAATATTACAGTTGTACAATAACTAATAAGGTCATTAAAATTGAGAAAAATTAAATAATTATATATAATATTGTATACTATTAAACCTATAGTAATAATACTGTAAGTTATTACAACTATTGAATATTATTTTTTTACTTACGATTTTGTCATTTGCTTCAAGTGTTTCGGGGTCTGTATTTTTTATGTATAATGTGCAACAATTAGAAGAGTTCAAGAAAGAGTTTAAGTGTTCGGTACCAGATTTTAAAATAATATTTTCATCAAATGCATCAAGCCCAAAGTAGTTTCCTGTAAATTAACAACATTTAATGTGTATCTATCTATTTATTAAAAGTTGGTACCTAGTCGTTACACTGATATAAATATATAAAATATATAATAATATACCTGCTGTTTTCATAATAAAGATTTTCCGAACGTCTGACATATTAAAAAATTAATAATTTAAATTTTATACTTGATACTTGTATAAAAATTCTTAAGACATTATTATAGGTTTATGATCAAAAACATATGTTAGGTACATACTAACTACTGTTAGTACTGTCTTACTTGAATAGCATGGATTAAGTTTGTTGTTGATGTAATTACCATAGCAACAAAACAACAACACATAATGTCACATGTGAATTCGTGGACATTACATAAGGGTGAATAATGAGATAATCATTTCATTATCAGTAGATATAGCTAACTAACATTAGATTTTGAGCAAAGCCAAATTAATATACTATAGTTGTACAAAATTGTGTTTTATTAAAAAAATTTTTGTTTTTTCATTACGTTTGGAAGCAGAGAAATACAGCAATATTCAACTTTCAGGGTAGTTTCCGGGAATGTGATCTAGTTATTTTTTCTTTAGTAGTTTCATTTTCATGTAGGCACTCTTCAAAACAATTGAGAAATTTTTTTTAAAAAAAGTGAATTATTTTTTAATAACAGATTTATTGATTCTTTGCTATAATTCAAAAATAAATACCTATCTGTAAAGACTTGACATTTCCACAGAATATTTATATTAGTTTTTAATTGACATAATATCATTTTCGAAATAGTTTAACTCTTTTTGTGCTTTTTATAGATATTTTAAATTGTCTACACTCTACCTTTTTATAAATTTATTTATGAAAAAATGTTTGTTTCTGAGTAAAAAAACATGACAATTTAATACGAGATTTTCATTAAGTTATTGTTACCGCAATCAAAAAATATCAAAAAGTACATTGTCGCGTTTTTTTTTCTGTAAGTGTCGAAAGTTCAAATTTTTACAAAATTCGTCAAATTGTGAAAATTTGCACATTATTTTGTAAGTACGTATCTAAATTTTAAATTTAAATTTAAAATATCATGAACTTTGGTATAATATTAAGGATATTTAGGAGTTAGGAGAGTTTCTAACGCAACCCCAGAATAGAAATATTGTAGGTAATAGCAAAAAAATATTTGAAAAATAAATAATAATAACTATTGAGAAGCAAAACAAATTTAATTGACTAATGACTATAATAACTATCATGTTGTACACTTGTAGGTACCTAATGGAAAAAGAGATTAAAATCCATTTTTCGGAACTTTTGAATATTTGTATTATATATTATAATTGTATATAAATTATATTCAATTTAGAATTAATAATTTATGGCAATTATCATTCGTAGAGACTTAAAAGATTTTGACACACTTTACACGGATATTATTATTTAAAATATATTATTATAAAATAAATAGGATAATAAATAATTTTAAAAGAGTTGTGAATATGAATTTTGGTATTTTTAGATTGTATATTAAGGGCAATTCACTAGGGGCCTTGTAATATACATTTTCAAGAATTTTCTTTGCAAACAAAAATGTTATGTATAGATATTATTTTTAAAAAGAAGGAAAACCTTTTAAATGCCTATAAATAGCAAAAAAAGTAAATAGTTAAAAAATATTTTGAAAATTAGCATGTCAATGATGAAATAAATATTTGGTGAAACCACCATCAAAGTTGAATATTGAAGCATTTTTACTGCTCCAAAATACGAAGATGTGCACAAGAAAAAGTTATACAAGATAATAAATTAATGTTAATAGTTAAAAGTTATTAAAATGTCAATTATTTGAATTTATTTCTTAATAATTATTAAGACTTTATAATAATAGCGATATTTATTTAATTATAAAAAATTATGTTTATTAAAGTATAATAATATAGTATAAGAATTTTCAGTTGAATAAATTTGACATGAAAATATGTTATGTTGTGTGGGATCGCGGGGGACACTCCCCTTCACCGATGGTACTAACTACTGAGCAAATACAATATTTTGGGTGGAGCAACTAAAATGTACTTATCTTACTGATAGAAAGTTCGTGACACCACTGCATATGAACGTTTCATAAAATTGTAATATTTAATATCCAATATTAAATAATATCGATCAATGGTAGCCGGTAGGTACTTGTATATAATATGTAAGTCTGTAACACATTATTTCTTATCTAATTAAGTAGGTATATTATATTTTTAATTTTCAGTCTTACGAATGATTACGTTAATACGTTTTTATCCATTTAATATAATTTTTGTATAATGTATTTTATACTTTTATCTACATTGTATTTAAATTATTACACTATTTTTAATGTAGGTTATCATTTATTAGTTACCTACCTATTACTTATTGCTATACTATCCCATGAATATAAAATATCTATTTATCTCTTAATTTATGGGTTATTATAACTATATTAAAAGAAAATATATGTAAGTTTAATTTTAATAATCGGTCTCACTGGTCTGCGGTCGCAGTTTACTTATGATAGTTTTATGACCACTGTCTAGTGTTTATGTAAAACAAAAAGACATGTCCTTTGTACTCCAAAATAATGTCCTCACTTATTGAATTAATACGTATTAAAACCTTTGACCCTTGTCTAGGTCATATCTCGATACTAGTATGCTATACTTACTAATAAGAAATAACAAACGTATTCCTACTAGGCTTAAATAGTTAAATACTTAAATGTAAAAATAAATGTATACTCCAATAACCAAAATGTAACACATCAAAACAATTAAATGCTTTAATAGACTATAATATAGACTATCGGTATTTCTATAAATATATCAACATAGATACCATTTAGATACTAGGTTTATAAAGTTAAGGTATAATATGTTATTAAAGTATAATGAGATACGTTAGATAATTATGTACCCCATGTTACCTATTTTATATTTAAGATTAAATCGATAAATTAAGAGTGTGACTAGTGATGTAAATATTTTGTTCGAAGTACCTACTACTGTCAAACTATTAATATTTTTATACTTAATTAATGCAATGTTCAATTCCATCATAAATTACGTCACTGCGATATAATTTTTTAATGAACTACAGTGAGTTACCTAAAAGATAAAACAATACATATTTTTCTTTAACGTTTCAGAACCTATAGAGAAAAATTAATGAAAATTATGGATAATCACATTTTTAGTTGTAAAATTAAATTCTGTGAACTATTATACTTCGTTCATAAAAATGTCTAAAAAAAGTATTACCCTTTCTTTAGCCTAATACTAAATTTAAAGCTATAAACATAATCTGTATGCTTATTGATTTAAGAAAATAATTGGTAATAAAAATATATAATTTTACTCACTGTAATAATTATATTACGTAACGAATGTCTCGTTAAAACTTTTACAGTGCTCGTCAAAATGGCTTTAGTGTTTTTAAGGAGATATGCTAAATTAGTGGATATAAACAAAGCTATATTATAACGGGTAACTCCAAACACCCGAAACTTCATTATTGAAGTTTAAATCCAAGCTTTAGCTTTTACAATTTTTAATATTTAATCAAAAAAAAATTATTAAACAACTTAATTAATTTGTATACCTACAAAATATACTACTTCATATTAATATTAAATTTACCTACTATAGTAAATTATCAAAACAATATATTAACGAAATAACAAATAGACGGGTATAGGTAATTATAGTTATATATTATTCCGTATGACTGAACAATTTCCATATACCAGGTTTTTATAATACATTGATACCTACAAATTAATTTTTGTAAGCACGTATTAAAAACATAGCAGAATTCTTATGATATACATTATACGCATTGTAATTTTAGTTTCATAAATAAATAAAACCTACATGGGAAATACTTTTTGACCTTTGATAATATTTAGAGCAACTATTAAGGTCCTACGTTTAATTGTCTACCACGTAATTAAAGTACAATTAATTTGTAAATATTGTAACTACCTATATAGTAACTAAATAATATATAATGTAAGTGGGAAATATTAACATAATTTACACTATAAACCCTATGTATAATTTAATAGTATTATATAATAAACAACAGAATTGTCTATTATTCGGTCTTTACTCTAGATATGCTAGGTATGTCTAATGTATTTTCTTGTATTACATTTTTAACCGTTTTGGGATTTTTAACTGTTGTTTTTGTAGTATTAAAAACAATTTTTGTATAAAATAAACGTTTTCAGACTTGTTATATTACTAAAACATTGAATAAATTTAATTATGCTCTAAAAGAATATTAATTATTGTATGTTGTACGTACTCACGCAGCACACATTTTATAGATTCATCAAACTTTTAAAAATATTAACGTTTAATTTATTTGAAACATTAATTTGACCTGTTACACAGTACCATTTTTGGACTTTTATTAATGCATAAAATTACAACATTTGTAAACAGACCGACAGGTTTATGTTTCAATTTCAATGATAGTGAAAAGGTTAATATTTAATTACATATTATAACTACTATTATTGTTTACCAAAATGGCAAAATATGGTATTTCATTTACGTGAAATATTTAGTTTGATAACGAAATAAAAAATATGGTAATCATTAATCACTAAATAAACCAATAATTATTACCATTTCAAAACTTTTTTTTGGGTGGTACTAATAATTAAAATAAAATATTGTTCATCTATTTAAATAACAATTATTAACAATAGCTTGGCAATAATTTTAAATACATCAAATTATATAACCCTAGAGTTACATCGTAACTCGTATTCTTTAAAAGGAAAACAATGAAATGTCTAAATCATAAATGTACAGTAATAATACAATTCCATATACTGTAGGTAATAAATAAATTATTATTGGACTGCAGTTTTAAATTATTTCCCATATTATGTAAAATGATAAATCTAAGATCAAGGCTGTTTAGTTGTTAAGCTGTGTATACTTATTACTTCTTAAAATCTTATAAACTATTGTATGCATTGCAATAATGTTTTTTATAACTTTTACGTAAAATTTTTCATCTTTCATTTTTATTTAAATAAGAATATATCAACAAAATTACCACCTAAACATATATATCTTATCTTTCTTATTAAACATTTTTGTTTTGTGTTTATCAATGTAGACTGTAGAGGGGTCATAGAGTCTATTATTCCAACAAAGCAATGATTTAATTTATTAATCATTCAGTCGTTATACATGGAACACAACTAACGGAAATAATAAACGGCAAACTTGTGCATCATACATTAAACACTTAGTTCATGAATTACAGTAATTATAAAATTTAAAATGAATTTTGCAACACCCGTGAATTCTGATAAATTACGGTATAAAATAAAAGTCAGCGGTCTCCCTAGATTTTATTCGTTATTGGTGAGTATTTTTTTTTTTACATAATATATAAGTTTATAGATAGGTATAATTAATATATTATTTTATTTAATAAGTATTATTATATTAGAACTACTATTTTAGAGCGATTTAAATCGGAAAAACTTCCATTATAAATGATATCTTAATACATTATTGTAATTAATCAAATAATAATTATTAGGCACCTTATAAATAGCCCACTTTAATTAACTTTTGGTAATTATTTTTACTAATATGAATTTAAATTATAACACATAGGTACATAAATTAAATTAAATAATTGATAAATAGCTATAGTGCTATACATTGAATTTGTAATAAATATTAAGACTAAATAAAGATAGTTTAATTATATAATAATTATACTATGAAGTACTTCATAGCATAGAAGAATCGCGGTAGTAAGTAGGAATGTAGGATGTACCTACTCTACAATATTCAGATACTCTAGTTTTTAACATACATTTAGGTAGGTAACTATCATCTCAAAAATAGAATAAGTACCAACTATAATATTATATTAGTTATAAATAAATAAACTATATAAATTACTATGTTTCTAATTTATTTATTTAAAAGTAGATGGTATATCATAGATTCATTGACTATGACTGTAATAAATGCGCATATTATTAATCAGTGGTTCTCAAGCTGTGGTATGTGCAGAATATTGTATATTTATTTCAAAATTTTAGTTTTTCCATAAGAAAGACGAAAAGCCAAAAATAATTACAAGGACGATCAGGAGGGATCAAGATCGTTTCGATTTGATACTACAATTTTGATTAATTATAAGCTCCAGGAAGTATGTTGCTTCTATATATATTTAAGTATTTAACTGGGTTCCACACAATGAATAAGTAAGAACCATTCTTATAGAATATTAAAGATTTAAATGAAATAAATAAAGTTCCATCACACTTATTAGTTACTAGGTATTATTATCACTCAAATTATTGGAACAACTTTGCTCTAAAATATGAAAATATGACTCGATTTAAAAACAAGTAAGATGAAAAAAAATTAATATTTCAAATAATATACCTCATGCAAATTTAGCTAGATACGTACTCGCTTTTGTCCCGACTTATGCCTTCTACATTCAGTTGTAGGATTATAAACTGAGAGCTTAGATCCCGGGTCAGTTGGCTCTTAGAAGATATGCTTTTGTTGGATGGGAAGAAAAAATAACAGCAATTACATACCTACCATTCTACAATTAAACAATAATTGCGTACGTACCTACTATAGTTGTTTACCTATTGTATTTTTTTATTATAAAAGACAGTTTTCATAGGCACAAATAGCCGGTGGGCAAGGAGGTTGGGGGCCAAGAAAAAACTTGAAGATTTAACGCCACATTGGAATAAACACTTTCACCTCTAGGTACATAAAAATCTTTACCCCCCCCCCCCCACTCAAATTTCAAACACTATTAGTGGACTAATACCGTCTTAAAAAAGAGATACCGAGTGCTTGATTTACTTAAAAATGTATTCTTTAAATTATTTAAGTAAGTGACTTATTTTAAGTATAGGTAATCTATGTTAAGTGCATACTATAATTTCTTTAATAAATAAATGTAAATCTTCGTCATTTTAAATATTTACTCATAACTGTGTAAAATTATGGTTAAATTGTTGTTACTAGGATCCATTGCTACAAGAATTTTTGAAAATGATCAACGAAGAGTTGAGATTAAATTGCATACACGCTAGATACAGTAAAAAAGGTAACGCATGGCTGTATCTCACGTTTCCAACAGAAACCGAACAAGCGGTTGCTCTAAGACTACTAAAAAAATATAATTGGAAAGGACGTTCTTTAATCAGTACGGTTAGTGCTTGATCATAATTTTTGATTTTAATACAGAAAATCAATACATATTTATCATATTTAAATTGTATATAGTTAGTTACGGCCGACACACCTAAAACCAACATGAATTTAACATACGTCGAAGGGAACCATGTTGCTAAAAGACCTAGACTTGATATTCCACTTAGTGAACAGGTTTTGATGTCTACAATTCCTTATCATAGTATTGAATACGAAGAACAAGTGAGTACAAAACGATTGCAAATTAGATAATTAATACAACTTCCAAGTTTACTGCAACAGTAGTTAAAAATGGTTTTCAGATACAACCCGTGATTATAATCATAGTGCTATATTTGTTACACATGATGATTCACTGAGCATGTAGGTACACATTGTACACCCCTATTGTTACCTTTAATAGGAGTTAAAATTTATTCAAATTCTGATTTTTGGAATAATTAAATATACCAACTTAAAGATCATATTTTCAAATTCTTGATATTTTTTGTACTACTTAAGGAGGGTCTGTGATGATACAACCTTCTATTCTTCAAAAAGAACCACTTTTTCTATGGTAGATTATTAAGCAGATAATTTTTGAAAGTTTTAGTTTTACGTATCAAAATTAAAATTTAAACGAGTAGTTTTCCAGCTGTTAAAATGTATATACTAAGTACAGTAGTCCTAAAAATGGTATTACAAAAATATAAATAGATGTAATATTGGATCTAATATTTATTATCCTTGGACCATTTTTACAAATTATAAATGTTGATTGATGATGAATTCATGGATTAATATTAATTACTAAAATGTTTAAGTCATCGTATCCATAATATTATCTTTGTATGGTTATCATGGGCCTTTATCCTTATTACTCAGTACACAAAAAAACTACTCGATCAAATTTTCATTTTGATAAGTCAAAACTCAAAACTTTCAAAAAAATTATCTGGTAAATAATTTACAGTAGAAAATGAGGGCTGCCATCTGAAAAACAGAAGTTTTTTATACAGGACACTGCTTAATTAGTACAATTTCCAAATTTTTTAAAATTTGGATTTTATGTATATTTAAAATTATATTTTGAGTAACTACAGACTATATTATTGAAGAAAAAAAGGGGGTGAGCATGCTTGGTGAATCATCCTGTATATATTTTTTTTTAATCTCTTACTACAATGTTTAAAAATAGTTTATTGTAATCTATAGTACCTACTATCAGTACTATCGCAATTATACCTCGTAAATAACACACAATTATATCTAATTATCTAAACCTAATGAATGTTTAATTTAATTGAATTCGTGTATGGGTACAACGGTATATATATGTAACTAATTGGCCATTCGTCTCGAAACAGTTGAGGAAAAAGAGCGAAGAGGCGAGAATATTGTTTCAACGGTTTGGGACGATAATTCAACGCAAACAACCGCCGCTTGCGGAATGGTGTGCGATGCGCAAACGGCAGCTGAATAGCGATTTGGCGTTTGAACTGTCGCCGATAATACCGTCGCAAAAAGTCGATCGGTACCGCAACAAATGCGAGTGGAGCGTAGGTGAGTAAGAACCGTTTAATTAATTAAAGGCGCGCAAAAAGATCTATACTCAGACACAAAATAAAATAACGGGGAGCACCTGAATTATATTATTATTTTGAAGTCGGTCTTTGTACATAACAGACCGACGGGACACTGTAGCTGCAGCCCGCGATAAATAGCCCAAAGGAATGGGTTTGGTATTATACAGTAATACCCACTGGACTGGGTTTAAAATGTATACAGGAATTAATCCCGACAGTGATTCAGTGGCCGTCGGGCTGAGAGTGAAAGATTCGATGGACGGAATCCACTATGTCGGTCCACCGGATTGTCTAAGAAATTTGCCGATGCCAATGATCACCTTAGCGAAGGTATAGTGTAGCAATGATAATAATATTGACAAAATATATTACATTGAACATTTTTTTACGTTATTTTTGAATTCACGATCTGCAATTATATAATAATCGAACAGATATAAATATATAACTATATCCGCTTTCGGTTGCTTATCAAATAATATGTTCAGATTCATTAAAGCTAATTTTTCATTACCTAAAATTATAATAGTTTTTTACGACCTTTCCCATTTTCTGAATCAATCACTTATTTTGTTTAACGGCGTAATATTTATTTCACTGTACAGCCAACAATACAAGTATTAAAATATAGGTAGACTTGATAGTATTTTTAAACTCGATTGTGTTAAATTTAGAAATTCGAGGATTTTGTGAAAAATTATTCTCAAGATTGGAGAATATGGCGTAATATGATAATTCGTATGAATGAAGACGGAGAAGTAATGGTGTCGATAGTTATCAACCAGCATCTACTAGACACCGAACAATTGTCTAATATAAAATGCTCCATATCAGAATGGTCTAAAAATAACATAACTGAGAACGTAGTGTCGTTATATTTTCAAGTCCATGGAGAAAAGTGAGTTCAGACTTATACTCAAAGTATATTATTCATTATAAAAAATTGTACAAAATACGTATTAATTAAATTCAAATTTTCCTTTTTTTTGAAAATTAATGACACTTTTAGAATAGTCAATATAATGTATTAACATTTTAACATTTGTTTTTAACGTTGATTGTTATATATATATATATGTGTGTGTGCGCAGGACCTTAGCTGATTGTATCGGTACCACGATCGAAGCTGAATTATTGTGGGGACAAAAGTACATTGTAGAAAAGCTATTAAACTTGTCGTTAGAAATCTCTCCAGCCACATATTTTCGCTTGAATAGTTTGGGCGCTGAAGAATTGTGTAAAGTGGTTGCTGATCTTGCCGATGTGAACGAAAATACTACAGTTTTGGATTTGTTCTGTGGGTCTGGATGCTTAGCACTTACATTAGCCAAGGTAAATTCATTAATTCATAATTTAACTCATTTGTCTCAGTTTAAATTATAGGCTATAAATTATATATATTATATTCACTATTCAGTGTCAAGAAATAATTTGTAAGGTAATGTAAATGTAATTTGCATTTAATTCCATATTTTATAGTTAAACATGTATACATAATATAAATATTAAGACATGAAAAAGTTTCTGTGTACGATAGGTAGGTACTTAGGTATAGGTTTTAAATGGCAACAACATTTAACCGATTAATATAATAATTAAAATTGTGTGTACTATATTTTTACTATAATTTTTTATGAGCGTCTGAAGTCAGAGTTTTGACGAAATTAGTCAACAACGTGAACATTTGTAACTTTTTTTATTGTTAGAAATTCATAAACATTTTCCTTTTTATATCTAAAATTTTAAAATGTGTTCCTCATAAGCTTTTATCCCTATTACAAAAAAAATGTTTAGGCTCGTTCAGATAGCTTGGAAATGTAATACAAGATCCCACATAAGTTGATTTTATATCTATATAAAAATATATAATAAGTAGGTACAATTTTTTTTATGAGCATTTGAAGTTTATATTTAGAAACTCAAAATCACGAACATTTTCAAATTTTTTTTTTTAGGTGGTTAAAAATGTATAAAGTGTTCAATTTTTATATCTAAGGCAGCTAAAGCTTAAACGTTTAAATAGGATATTAATTAGAAGGATATCATAAGTAATTTTTGTACTTACCTTATTCAAAAATATTATTTATGGGGACTTGACAGTATTACGTATATCATTGTATTTTATATAAACAATTACATTTTCAAAACATTTAGAACAGTTACTATTTGCCTATTTATACCATGAATCTATTCACGCCATATGTGTATACTGTATAGTGTATACCTATGTCAGTATTGGCTCAAAAGTTAATAACAATAATATATGATATAAAATATAAAGTATAAATATATAGTATAAACTATTATAATAATTAAATATTAATAATATAATAAATGCAATGTTATTGGCAAAAAATAATTTAATCTACCTAATTAGTAGAGTGACTTACTCAATGATGGAGGTACACTTGTTACCGACTTTCCCCTTTTGGGTTATTTGATTTTCAATAAATAAATTTGTTTTTTCTTGGTCATTCTTATAACTTTGATTCGATTTTGTGAAACTATGCATAGGAACATATACAACTTGAAGTGGTGTAACAAGTGTGAATCACCCCATTCTCAAAAGATGACACGTCCTATATAATATATCCATTTTATAACTTTTGCTTATTGTATTACGTGTATATACTGGCTACTGATACAGAAGATTGTAAATCTTTTAAAATAAAAAAATAAAAATCGTGTAATATAATAATAGCATATACATTTACATATATATATATATATATATATATATATATATAAATTACAAATACATATTATTTTTATTTGTCTGTTAACGGCGCATCAGCAACAACATTTTTTTTTTTGGTACGCAAGTAAGGTGCAACATTAAATTATATTTTATAATAAATTACACCATTATTTATCACGTGGTATGTGATTATAGTGATATTAACTCAGAACTATATTTCGTATTTTTAATTACATAGAAATGTAAACAAGTCGTGGGCATCGAGCTAATTAAGGCAAATATAATGGACGCAAAAAGAAATGCTGAAATAAATGGAATAGTCAATTGTGAATTTATAGCTGGTAGGACGGAAGATATTTTGGATTCCGTGCTTAACAAACTCAAAGGGTGTAACGTAACTGTGATAATGGATCCACCTTTAACTGGAGTCAGTAAGTGAAATAAATATTTTAGATTAGATTAATATTGCAATGAATATGTATTATAATTACAAATTATAACACTATATGTACGTTATTTTTTGAAAAGGTACCGGATTGGTCAGGACTCTTCGAAAATTTAAAGAAGCTATAAATTTAATTTACGTTTGTTCTAATCATAAACTGCCTTTGAAAAATCTACTAGATTTTTCTTCGGTAGTTAGATATTGGCAAAAACCAATAGACTCCGATCCATTTCTTCCACTTCGTGTAGTTCCTATAGATATGTGTCCTCATACACTTAGGTCAGAGCTGGTTTTGCACTTTAAGAGGTTTTGTGTTGATGACATTTTATCAACTAAAAACGATAGACCATCAAAAATGTATAGCAACAGAAAATTTAAGACAAAATTTAACCCAAGAACATCGGAAACGGTTACATCAAGTATTCAACCATCTGCTTCCGGAGTGGGTGGATTGTTGGACTACCTCAAGAAAATCGAAGAAAGGGCGTATCAAGAAGGGTTAGCCAAAGGATTGGAGAGAAAAGCGTTCCAAATGGGTTATTCGAGAGGACTTCAGTGTGCCTCCGCTAATGACGATGATCAATTTAAGAAAAACTCTTCAACTAATTCTGATCCGTAATTAAAAACACTATATATAATATAATAGTATATTATACGTTTTTATAATAATATATTAAATATTTATATAATTTTAAAAGTTCCACTTTGTTATAAACAAAATCGCCAGTTTACATTAATATTAATTAATGTAAAACTGTATTTTGGGTACCTATACCCTGTTCCAAAAGAGAAGACACCAGATGAACGTAGCAAAACTAGTTTTTCCCGTGGCCGCCTGTTGTCTTCTTTTTTGGAAAAGGGTATAGGCACCAGGCACTTATAATATAAATTTAGGAAAACATATAATGCTCAAATGCACATTACGCAATTCGCAGTTAGTAGGTAATATACACTATAATATATAGATTATAGGTACAGTTCAAAATAATAATTTAAATTTAATGAATAATCTTAAGAATTAATATTTTACAACATCATTTTCCTTACTTTATAAATTGGGCGTGTATTATTATTTCTTTTTTACTAGTCAATACTATACACTTAACAGTTAACATACAATTATTTAATCTATTCATATACTATGTTATAGATTAATAGTTATAAATTATAAGTTTTATATTTTCAAGAAGTACAAAATGAATTTGACCATATTATAATTTTCTGTTTACCTACTTGCTATACACTTATTCTAATTTATAATATAAATAAACCTAGGTAACATAATTAGATTATTAACAAATTTGTTACCTACTCTGTACTCATAAAATATTTAATACATAATTTTATTGAAAATTACATTCTTAAAATGTCTAAGTAATTCTAAGTTAAAATGAATAATAATTTTAATATATATATATATTGTGAAATGTCAATACTGTATGTACCTATACTGTAAAATATAAAATGTCATTAACTTCAATAATTATTAAAAGGTTCAATTGGAACCTTTATGGCTATATGTATTATAATATAGAAAGATACCTACGTATACCGTATACGTATAATACGTATAATATTATTACGTGTAGGTACCTTATACCTACTCAAATATTTTTAGCACTAGAAAATATAATATTATTTATTACCTACACTTTGTATTAGTATAAATTCTTTTGGGAAAATATAATACCTACTCATAAGTCGTACTTGTATAAGTATAAAAAAATATACATCATACTACATATATGTATTTATTACTTTAAATTTAATTTTAAATACGCTTTATGTGCTAATTTCTATATTAAATTATTTAATTATACACATCTGTATCTACCTATTCAAGTTTGTAACCAACATTGTTATAATTAATATTTTTTCATAGTTTAGAAAGGATGACTTTATTAATGTATATATCTTAAATTCTTAACAATTGCTGTTTAAGTCGTTCAGGGCTTAATTAGGTAACACACTACACACTTACACCCTAAAATATCAATAATATCAAAGGATAATGGATATTAGATTGTATAAGTGAAGCACCTCTGACAATTTGTAAACCAACCTATATTTGATTGCGTGTTTGTTTTTTTATTGCAATAATATTACTTTTTAGATTCTTATCAGTTTGTACGAACAAAGTTGTAATTTTTGTTCTTTTCGTGTATTTTTTATTTTAAAACAATCCTGTTCAAACGAGGTTTTAACATGCTATTTAAGAATTTACAGCGGTGTGCCGGTGTATGCGCATTTACTATGTAGGAACAGACACATGGCCGTATAGGCACGGGCTTATAGAACGGCAACATTTAGAGGGCAGACAATTGTGCCCTAAGGCCTAATCCTTCACCCAGGTTTCAAAGCAATGATTCCATTTTTATACATGGTTATTCAGTGAAATCCCATTCTAAAAAACAATATATTTGGTTTGATTTGTTCACTATATTTTTAGCAAAACTATAATGTTGTTTTCCTAGATAAACGGCTTATTATATTTTTATTTTATGTGTTTATTGGTTGACTAGCAAAATAATTAGAGAAACGACGATAGACTTTTGATATGCTATATTAATAGACCATAGGTAGCCAATCAATTTATCATAATCCATAACGATAACTCATAAGCTAACTTCTTTAAGTGTCTCAAAAATAACAGAATATTATGGTAAGTTATAAGAATGCAACCTGCAGAATGATATCAACAAATCTTTTTTCAACAGAATTTTGGTTATACATTTAAACATTTAAACATCTTATTTAGAATCTTCAAACAATGGAATCAAATGCATTTCTATTCTATAACTATAGATTTTCTTGTTATTTATGATTGTTTATAATTTCCTATACATGATAAAATTTTCAAAATATTTTTACTCGTTTAGAGTTGTTGTTAACGGGCATTTTCAATTTTTAATATCTTTAGTAATTTTTTACACAATCATTTTTAAAAAAAATGTTTAAGAAATATGCACGTATACACATGTATCATGTATGAATGCGTAATTGTTCATTTTATAAAATGTATAAAGGGCCATAGTTCGAAATAATGAATATGTTTTCCATAAAACTTATAAAAACATTAATAATCTCTAAGCCAACTACGCAGTACGCATAATATGCATAATATTATTATTTACTAATATTACATATTTACATATTACTATATACATTACTACGCGAGATAAAGAAGCAACATTTACGACCGCAGTGCAGCCTGTGGACGTTTAATCGTGCGACTCGTTACGGGGCGTTTTTTCATGTATGAGACCATCGAATTTGGTCTCTTCTAGTCTTCATCACGAAAAACGAATTAACTTAGAAAAACCGTGGTCTTCATACATCAAACCATAGAACAATAATCAAACATAATATTACATTATTATAATTATTTATAATCATTTAAACTTTTGAGTAATTATCATGTTTCGAACCCCTGGTTTTAAATAAGTTTCTGTTATCAGTTTATCACTCTTATCACTCTAATCACTCATCAGATACGATTATATTATACGAAATCGAAACTTCATGTTGATGTAATCGTGTACAACTTACTACTTGATGCTTATAGTACATGAAATGTGTAAGTTTTTTATGTAATAAAATTATATTAATATTGTTGATTTATCAAGTTACTTTAAACATTAATATTTATTATTCCTTAAAAGTTATTTCTTATTATTTCCAATTAATGTCTTTAGAAGATTCATGACTGATAGCTATAGGTATGTATGTACAAATATAAATAATAACAATATATTATTGTATACTGTATTTATCCATAAGGCATTATTCATAATATATGAAGCTCTAAAAAATTGTATAAACAGTAATTAACACAAATACCAGTTTAAACATTTTTACTGATCTTGAAGGTTTGCGATTTTTGTCATCTAAACCAATGGCAATTTAGTTTTTTGTGTTACTCAATTAGCTAAGGTTATTATACTCATTTGTTACTTATTCAAAATAATTTAAATAAAGTTATGAAACTATATTTTTACTTACCATTTTTGTATTTAATATTAAATAGGCAATAGATACATTTATTTTAGGTACCTACTATCTATAAAAATATAAAACAAAACCTAATATCTTAAGACCTTTAAATAAGACCTGTGAACAATTAATATGTTGCTATTAAGGTTGATAATTAATATTCTTTAGTTATAAAAAGGTAAAATCCCTTTTATGATTTAAGGTTATAATATCAAGTATCTGTATAAGTGTATAATGCAGATGATAATTAGACTGATGTATAAAGGTAATCAGATTAGGAAGGATATATATTAAAAATTAGGATAATACTTATAATAATTAATAGTCTTGTATAATATATGTGGATTAGGTCTTCCTCACAGTAGTAAACAGTAGGTACTTAGTTAAAAACATCTACCAAATTAGATCCAACTATCCAAGTGTTTAAATTATAAGTATCTCTTAAAATGTGGAAAGATCTTTAAATTAAAACGGCTATAGTATGTAATCCAAGTTAATTTTAATTTGTGAGTTAGTATTAAATCTAATTGTGCATTACATATTTATATTAATTTTTTGTTTAGTTTTCATTAGAACAAATATTTATTGTTAAGTATAAAACTAAAAACACAAAATATATTCATAATCAAGCACAGTGTTCTTGACGTTCATGACTTTTTTATGAACTGAATATCTTATTAATACTGACCTAACCCATCAGGTACTATTGTGTGTATGATATTTATATGGGTTAAAGGTAATATCGATGACTTGATTTGCAAAATCAAAAAAAATTTGTGGGTCTCTTTGTATTCTGTCTATGGAGTGTCAGGAAGTCGACACTCGTTTCCTGCACTAGTACACTATACAAGTTTTGTTCGGCATCGCGCGTAATTTATTAATATCGTCCACGTCGAAAGTAGCACACTGGCGGTGTGCCACTGCATTATTATACACTCATTAGACAACTCGAATGGAGTTTTACATTTTTTTTTTCTTCTCTTTATTCCTCGGACGTCTAAGCGAGTATAATATGGCGCAATATACTTACACCGTCTACCAATCGTCGTTGATTGATTGATTATTCGCAGGCAGAAATGGGTTTTCGGAGTAGGTTGTGGTATGTGCATTAAGTCTGTGAACGCGTCATAACGAGCCGACGTTCAAATGAAACCTTCGGTCCTCATCGCACGCGGTCGGTGGCGGTGGTTAATGTGGCGTGGATGCGCGAGGGTGACTGTAAACTAATCGATACGGCGTGACGCGGCACGCTCGAAGGGGAACCGCCAACACCGTTAGACGCGGACGGTGAGCGGGTGGCCCCGACGTGGTATCGGCGCGCACATTCCTCCGTCGTTTCGCGCCCCTCGGACCGTCGTCGCGTCTCCCTCGCCAGTACCAATCGTCCCGCTGTCGTCCATCGACGTCCGCCATGCGTCATCCGTCCCGAGTCTTTTGTTGTCACCACCGTTTCCGTTACCGCGTTATGGTACACCGACTGGATTGACGACGTTAGACGCCGACCGGGAAGCGCACTCGCAGTCATAATATACGCAATTGTTTCACCACCGCCGCCATTGGTTGTGGTGGTGCTCGTGCTGGTGTCGCCGCTGTGGTTCGGGATTGTGCGATGCGCAGCTGACCATGACACTGTGCCAAAGCGAGACAAGGAGGAAACAGCGGCGGGTCCACGGACTGCAGATGCCGTGGCACCCGCAGCAAGTGGCCGGTTGGCTGGTACTGGCTATTTTCGGCGCCTGTTCATTCGGCGTCCTGCTGCCTGGCCTCGGGCCTGACGTCTACCCAGTCGCACTGTTCGTGTTGGGCAGTCTGTTCTTCTTGCATGTCGTGTCGCACGTGGCTGCGCTGCTCATCGATCCCGCGGACCCACAGCTCCGTGCGAGAGACAGCGGGGAATCGTCGCAGAAACCCGTCCCCGAGCTGGACAAGACCAAACACGCGCACGTTATCGAGAACGGCAAGTGTCACCTGTGCAATATATACACGTCTGGCCACCGGACCAAGCACTGCGGATCGTGCAATAAGTGTGTGGAGAAGTTTGACCATCATTGCAAGTGGCTGAACCACTGTATCGGTGCTAGAAACTACGTGGCGTTCATCGTGAGCGTCGTGTCGGCTGTGCTCGCGTGCCTGGTGATCGTGCTGGTGTCGTCTGCTGAGCTGGTCATATACAATTCGGACCCGGAACACGTCGAACAATACCTGCGACCGATGTTCGGCAGCAATCAAACCATCCAGGTGAACCAGTTGTTCAGTGTCAGTCGACTTTCGGTAGACCGGAACGTATTCGTGGCTGTCGCATCTGCCCAGTGCGCCTTGGCCCTGGTCGCCATGGTGCTGCTACTGCACCTGTGCGTGTTCCACGTGTACATATCCGCACTAGGCATCACCACGTACGAGTATATCCGTAATTACAGGCGATACCCAGAGTTCGATTCCAGGAATGGCGCGGCTGCGTTGTCGTCGTCGTCATCCCTGTCCGACAATCACGGCGCGATGTCTTCGGGTTCCTGTAAGAACGCAGCGGGCCGGAAGTCCGCTATGGCCAAGGTGTACGCTTCAGCGTGTTGTTACGGCGCGGTTACTGCGGGCCGGCATAAACGGCCGTCGTGCGGCATCCACTCGAACCTTAATGGCGCAGGCCGGAACGACCAGGATGGCGCTAGCCACGACGACATGACCGTTGAGACGGTTGAATCGTACGGTCGCAGCGGGGCCAGTAGACTGCTGAACCCGAAGGACTTGGACCGGACAAGACCGGAGGACCGCGATCAGCAGAACCCTCAACCAAAGTGCCGGTACTGTCTGGAGAAGAACAGGATCCGAGGCGATGGAGCACGATTTTTCGTGTTAGGCAAACGCCGAAAAGGGTTCTGCTGCTGCTTCCAGAAACCCGAGCCAGTATTTGGTCGAAGTGCCGTCCCCGCCGCTGCCGTGCAGCACGTCAAGGTTCCACCATCGCCGTTCGCGGTCCGCCGGAACCGTGTCATACCCGCCGACAGTGGTCAGTTGTCGTTGGTTGTCGACGAGTGGAAATCGTTCAACTCGGGTTCACTCCCAGCTCTGCCACACGCGGCCGGCCACCGTCAGATGCAAAAGATCACGCTCAAGGAGCTAGGTCAGGTATTGGCGTTCGTTGAACAACAACCTTCGAAAACGAAGCGGCGCAAGATTGGCAGCGGAAACGGGCAGATAAAACACTCCAAGTCGTCGTCCAACCTGTCGCCGATTCACGAGTCCGGACTGTCCAACCCGTCGACGCCGCAACTGAAAAACCGTTACCCGCAGACCAGGCCGTGCAGTTGGCTGTCGTCGTCGTCACCACCGTCTTCCTCCCCGCACAACACTTCTAAAAGCGCGTGATTTATGTATGTGTGGGTTTTCTATATCCACCGGTTTCTCCCCTAAAACCCACGTGATGTGTATACGCGCGCAATTCGCATTTCATTTTTATCGCCGGCTGATAGACCTACAAAATATTTAAGTACGACGGCGTTTGGTAATCAAAAATGTAAACAATAATATTATATAATTTTACAACCGCACAACTGTGTCTGACCCACTGAACTGAATAGCGAATACAGTACATATTATATTCAGTTCAGTGGTCTGACCTGAACGACTCAGATCAGGTGACCTTCCGATTTATGAACAAATCGACGACGACTATCGTGGTGTCCGTTCACAGATTTTTCTGATACATTCTTGGTGCTGTCGGAAAGCTCTCCTGTATATCCCTATACGGTATATTATGTATGTATAAGTACCTATTTGACTTAACACGAACGAATAACGAAAACTATACTGCCCCGATAAGCTTAAATTCTGTAAGTCACTAAAGAAGACTTTTGAAAAAATAATGTGTTTTTATATTTTACATTTTCTTATAACCATAATACCTTGTACTTACATTTTTATACTTCTCTTAGTAGGAATTTTTATAACCTATATTAATTTTACATTGATCCTACTATTGGTATATAAGTTTTGAAAATTTGTTTCATAAGCAAGAATATCGTTAGTAAGAATTGTATTTAATTATTTCGTTTTTGTTGAATATTTTATATTTATATAATATGACATAATATTCACCTAAATTATCTAAATTTTAGAGTTTTTAATTCAGCTTAACCTCATTTTTAATTTTTTTTTGACTTATAGAATTTTATAGCTTAGAAAGGCAGTATAAATATCATCGATGTTATACATATATAAGTAAATGTGCAAAATCCAGAGGACGAGGAGGAGTAAACCTCGAATAATCGTATTAAAAAAAAAAAAAAATGGATTTGATCGTTTTTTTACTTTATTAACTTAAATATATAACTTAAGTAGGTACCTATATAATGTATTATATATTATTATTTTCTACATTATACCTACTCAAACTATTATACCTCTCTATATGACTAATGACTACCATTATGTTTTTGAGTTTTTCTTATAACATGTGATTGGCGTTTTAAAAATTCTTAACAAATAATTGGAAACTATTTAAACCAATAATGATGTTCACTTTTCGTAATGACGAAATAAGAACCGATTACCGAGCGATATTATAATATTCGTTATCATGTGATATATAGGTACCTACTATAAGTCGTCTTTTCTTGTTGTGCTATATTAATATTTTAATACTTTTCCATTTTTATAAATTCATTTAAAATTTTAATATATTTAGAAAACTATTGTTTATATAAAATTTTTTGTGAAAACCAAATGTTTGAAGTGTCATGGTTTTAGTTATAAATTTTATTAGCAAATAATGTGTCCGTAAAATTTGTGAAAAATTAAATATATTTTTTCAAGGTTAGGTACACTGTAAGAGTGGTTAAAATATTATATCAGAAAATCATTAGTTGGTGTTATATGTTCAATATATATATATTTAATATTATGTTCAATTTAATATTATTCCCTACAATAGTCTTGAAATTATTATTTAATATAAATGTTTTAAAGATGGAAAAGTCCACCATAAGTCTATTATATCTTAATTTAAAATCTAAAGAAAGTTTTAGAGAGTAAGATATCTTATTATGTCTGTTTTATATTTAAAACTATTTATACTGAGAACATTTTTATTTAAAATTTACTAATTATTACTAATATCAAGATATTGTAATTTGTAGTTTTAATAGTAATAACTAATAACAGTGTAATGATGTGTTAATAACCCAATAAGTTTTTCTATATACTCGATAAGTTGTAGCCTTGTATAGGAAGGAAGAAAGGGTTATACAGTATATTATGTAATTACGAATTTGTGATAATTATAGTCCAAAGCATACAAATGTATTTACTGAATCAACTCTCGGTCATATTTTATTTCATTAATTAAATTTGAATTCTTCTATTGATTCTCTCCCAATGCCATTTTTCAACAATACCTATTAATGAGTAAAATTAAAATCAATCCTACAATTAATTAATTTGATTTCTTTTCTTTTCTTTTTATTTGATGAAAATGTATTTGTGGACTTGACATTTTTTCCATAAAATTATATAATATCTAAGATCATACTTTTTATTGTACTTTTATTTATCATAAATTGGTATGTGTTAACCATGATTTAAATCTTAAATAAAAGTATTATTTGTACTATTAATGAATATTTTTCTTATGGTTAGAATTTTTACCACTTGTTTGTCTTTAAACATACCCAATAGTTTTCTATTTTAACATTTTAAAAGTCAAATAATTTATAATATTTACCCATAATTTTGTTTTCAATACATATATAGGTACTACATAATATATACTATATAAATATAATATTGTATTATCAAAATTGTGTTTATTTATTTTTGCATAATAAAAATGGTGTCCATATAAGTTATGGTTTTAATTTATTTTGGGTTATTTGGATTACCCTATCTATTGAAATGTCAATAAATACACCATGTTCTATTAGGTACCTACTTATTAACATTTATAAAGATTGAAGACACCAACTGTACTACAAGTGCTATGCTGGGTTTCTAGGTTTTCAATTAAAATACAATTTTCTATAATTTGTTTGTACATGCACATTAATGATAAAAACCTATTGTGATTGGTGAATATATATAATATTAATTAATAATTATATTAACACGTTTGCTGCGTAAGACGCCAATTGGCGTCATTGTACATAGTTCGCATGTATCTTGTTATTTAATGGACTTTAATTTGGTCAGCGTTACGATTAAACTTTTGGTTTTTTGTCAGCGTCTTTTATAAGCATTGTTTCATAATCAAGTGCAAACTGTAGACTGATATTTAAATTTTTCAATTTTTAGGAAATTTTTTTTTAAAACTAGAAATTTATCAGCGTCACGACAAGTATACAAAAATATGATACGCAGTGAACGTGTTAAACATTGTATACCTACCAACATTTTTTAAAATTAAATAAACAAATATATTTTCAAATAAAACTATTTTGTGTAAGACAAACAACAAATTTTTATTTTATATATCTTTTGAAATTATAATACTGTTATTCAATTACTTAGTTTTTAATAAAATAATTTTACATTTAAATTTATTTTTAGGTATAATTAATTAGAACTATGGAGTCAAAAGAAAATGTATGGGAAAGGCTTGGAAAACCAAAGTATGTACTAGCTCCTATGGTTGAACAAAGTGAATTACCTTGGCGGATGTTATCGCGCAAACACGGTGTTCAATTATGTTTCGCACCTATGTTACACAGTCAGAACTTTGTTCAGGATCGTAAATATCGGAAAGAATTTTTTACTACTTGCCCTGAAGACCGGCCTTTAGTTGTTCAGGTACTACTATAAAAACATAATATTATCTTTATCAATAATATTAAAAGGGCCTCTCTGCATGTTGTTTCCATCATAATATAATGAAATTGTACAACAAAGCAAATTTTGTATTCAGGCTTTTAGCAGAACCAATTTTGTATTGTTAGCTTTAATATTAAAGTAACCTTTTATTAAACTCGAAGGTAAGAATATTTCTAAGTTTTTATGTTGGTTTTTTATAATATTTCAATCCTTAAGCAAAATTGAGTACCTAGATATTATGTAAAATATTACAATAAAAAATGTTTATAACTCGCTTAAAAATTAACATATCTAAAAAACTAACGTACAAATACGGATAATGTTTTTTCCTCATATATTTTAGCTTGAGAATAGGTTAATTCACCCTAAGATTAAAGCTAAAAAAAAATTAGTTCTGCCAAACACTATGTTGTACATTATCATTGTATATGAAGATAACTCATGCAATAGTGGTGTCTGCTTAGGTTATTTTTTGCAAATATTCCCTTTGTTTTTATTAGTTTTGTGGTAACGATCCAAAAGTAATACTAGAAGCTGGGAAATTAGTTGAAGATAGTTGTGATGTAATAGATCTAAACTTGGGTTGTCCACAAGCCATTGCTAAGCGTGGATTTTATGGTTCTTTTCTTCAAGATGAATGGAAACTTATATTTGAAATCGGTAAGTGGTTTCTAATGTTTTTACTTAATAATAACAAAATCAAAATGATGTTACGTGTTTGAATTTCAGTTAAAACATTACGAGACAATCTTAAAGTACCAGTGTCTTGTAAAATACGTATTTTTGAAGATTTAACAAAAACTATTTCGTATGCTAAAATGTTAGAAGAAGCAGGTTGTCAAATGTTATCAGTACATGGTCGGACTAGAGATCAAAAAGGACGATTGACAGGAATAGCTGATTGGAGTCAAATAAAAGCTGTTAAGTAAGTTAAAAAAAAATTCAAAACCATATGCATTAAGTAACAATTTATTATAACTTATTCCTCCTTTAAGAGATTCATATTTTATTGATTTATATTTTCAATAACATTTTAATATTTATACTTTCTTTAAATTAATTATGACTTTGGTTACCAAAAAGTTAGACCATCTTCCCTTAGATTGTTTAACATTTTTTTTTTTCCATAAATGTTGATAAATATGTATCACTTGGTCAAAAGCTTAAAAAATTTAATTATAATGTTTATTTTTATTTTTTAGGGAAAATGTAACAATTCCTGTCTTAGCAAATGGCAATATTCTTATATATCAAGATATAGAAAGGTGTTTAAAGGAAACTTTGTGTGAAGGTGTTATGTCTGCTGAAGGACACCTTCATAATCCATATATTTTTGACAACCAGTCACCTCCTGTTTGGGAACCAGCACTTGAGTACTTAGATCTTAGCCAACAATATCCTTGTCCACTTTCAAATACAAGAGGTCACTTATTTAAACTTTGCTACCACATGTATGTGAATAAAATATTGTTTTGAATTATAATGTCGTTATAATTATTTTGTATTTTGTTATTCCAGATTCAGTCTCCCTGAAAATGAATCAATTAGAGATATATTAGCAAAAG